TCGCCCCTTTGGGACCTGCACCCCCACCCGCTAAATTTTACCGGCATAAATGAGCTGCTTAGAGGCTCAGGAGCTGTGCAAATCCATGTCTACCGGGACGGGCCCTGCCCTGCCTGGCTATACCCCTTTCCCTCCCCCCCCCCAAACCTCTCTCTCTCTCCCTCCCCGGGGAATAATTAATTACCTTGGTCTCAAGATAAGTCAGAATGTACAACGCACACTTGACCTCTCCACCTTCCGTTCCCGTTGGATGGGTCGGCATAGCCCGGTAAGGCGGATCCTGGACAGTGTGGCGGAAAAAGAACCCTCGCGTTGCCCATTGGCTGTCGCGGACCGGAGACTGATTCCGAGAGTCGTCGCTCGGTCTCACTCGCACTCATGGGGCGTCCCGTATAGGTGCGAGAGAGACAGAGCGACGACTCTCGGAATCAGCCTGAGAGAAAAAGAAGAAGAAGAGAGAAGAGAGAGAGAGAGAAGAGAGAGAGAAAAGGGAGAAGAGGAGAGAGAGAAGAGAGAGAGAGAGAGAAGAGGGGAAAGGGAGAGAGAAAAGAGGGTGGCGGGATGCCGTTTGATGTGGTGCGACTAATTATCAAATGCAGGCCAACAAACCCGCGCGGTTAATTACGCGGCAATTCAAAAACCGTGTGTGTGTGTGCATGCATATGTGTGTGTGTGTATTTGTTTGTTTGTGTCCGTCTAGCGGAAGGAGGGCACGCGGAAAAGAGTCTCTATTTGCCATTGTGCATGACCACACGTCTGCATGCGGCCTGAATGCTGCGAATGTATTTTCGTCTGTCTCTTCGTTTGACTCGGTGTCTGTATGTGTGTGTGTGTGGGTGTGTGTATGCTCCTTTCCGTGTCTGTCTGTCTGTGTGTCTGTCTGTCCACGCAGTCAGCATGGCGCTTCGCCTGCCAGGTGTTCAAATTAAAAGCACGACCCAGACGCGTAATGACAAGCCGAGAGAGTTTTTGTTTTTGTGGTGGGCCCCCTTTGCCCCCCCCCCCGCCCCCCCCCGGGGCCCCTTGCCCCCCCCCCCCTCTCACCACCACGTTATTTGCAGCCGAGTTCGGCCATTGTCCCGTTTATCGGAAATGATGCTGATTGTGAAGCGGGCCGGACGGACCCGAACCGAAATTGCTATTTCGGCGAGACAAATGTCCGGGCAGGCCGCCGAGGCGCGCGGCCTTGGGAGGTAACCGGAGGTAAACCCGACCGCCGCCGATTGTTTGTACCTCAAACTAACCTCAGCCACACCGTAAAACGTACATTTCCGGGAGAAATTTCGAAATTCCAAGGTTTTTTCCCCTTGAAATCAGTCAGTTTTGTATTCGCTTTGTTCAAGTTTTTTGGTCATGAATTTTTGTTCCGCACATTTTACCGTGATTCTTCTTCCTCCTCCTCCTCCTCCTCCTCCTCCTCCTCCTCCTCCTTTTTCTCCCCTTCTTCTTCTTCTTCTTTCTTTTTTTTTCCTCCCTTTTTTCTTCTTCTTCTTCTTTTTTTCTTCTTCCTTTTTCCTTTTTCTTCTTTTTCTCTTTTCTTCTTTTCTTTTTTTCCTTCTTCTTCTTCTTCTTCTTCTTTTCTTCTTTTTCCCCCCCTGATTTTGTTTTTTGCTTTTGCTTGCAGTGAAGCCACTGGAGGTGCGCATCATGAACAAGGAGCGCACCTTGTCGGCGGAGCGGCGCTACGAGGTGGAGTGCCGGTCTGCGGGTTCGCGCCCCGAGCCAGTCATCACCTGGTGGAAGGGCTCGCGCCAGATGAAGAAACTCGCCAAAAACGTAAGTCGTTCCCAAAGTTTTTTTTTTTTTTTTTTTTTTTTTTTAAACCCCCAATGGAAATAACTTTAAACTTCAGAGTATAAAATTTGAACTCCTCATGAATTTGGGTTGAATGTCAATGTATTGAACTCAAATTCCATGAATTTTGGTGTAAACTTCGCTGTTTAGGGGAGAATTTTTTTTTAAATTTCGACCGTACCTCGTGAATTTTCAAGAAGTTTGACTGGAAATCAAGATTTTACGCGCTTAAGTCTTTTTGAAGTTGTTTCCCCTTCTGCAAAACCCAATCGCACTCTGCAGAACGATCGGTGGTTGATGCTTTGTATTTTCGGGAGGAATCTCAATCGTTTTCTGACCAGCAGTATACACTGACTGTTCGGCTCGTGGTTTCTCTTTGCTCCCGAGCCGGAGCGGCCGAAATTGTAAAGAGTCGGTTAATTTCTAAGTTCTTTTCCCTCCCTTTTCCCCCTCTAACTTTGTTGGGATCCAGAGTGCAGAGAGCTCCTTGGCACACACTAAAGACCCTAAGGGACGGCTCAACAAACGAGGACCAAAGACAGGCTGGCCCGGCCGGCCTGTACTTTCTGCACGGACTGTACTTTGGGGCCCATTCTTGTAATTGGTTTTGTGCCCGAGATGTCCCGCTGGGAAACGGCCTGAATGCGACGCCAAACCTAGCTCGCTGTTCCGGTCCCTCTCTTTCCCTCTCACTCACTTTCCCCGTTTGTCTCTCTCCGTCTCTCGCTCTGATCTTGAGTGTTCTACCTGCCATTTCTCCACTTCGGTCCTCATTTCAACTCTATTTTCATTTCGTGCTCTCGGTTTATTTATGCCCTATTCCGTCCGCGCTCCGCCTTCAGACTGGAAACGGTTTTCCGCGTTTCACTGCGTCATTTGCTGACCCAATTTTTCATAAAAGGATATTTTTTTAGAAAGAATTTACAAGCGTTTTTGAATATGCACTAGCTTCTAATTTTGGAGCTGGCCGGGCAGGCCAATTGATGTGTGTTGAAAAAATCTATTATTGCGGAAGTGCTGAGGTGCACCGTGGCCCACAGTGAGCCAGAAGACCGGGTGGAGGCGGTCAAAAGCCGGGTGCGTTGTGAGCTCCAGGGTCGCTAAAGAGTTCTCGAACCGAACGTACCCCACCAATGGATTCCTCGTACGGAGAGCAATCCATTGGTGGGGTCACACGCTCGGTTCGAGTCCTGTTTAGCGACTCAGGGGCTCAAAACGCGTCCAGAGTTTCGGCCGCCTCCACCGGTCCTCTGGCCCACTGTGGGGTGTGTGGATGCGACTGATGGCAGAGATTAAAGAACTGAAAGGGGGCGATCTTGATCGTCCCTCTGCCCCGCAATCCAGCCAAAGTGAAAGGGAAAATCGATTTGAATCTATTTCTTTATGAGTTTCTTTTTTTTTTCTCTCTCTCCTTCTTTTCCTTTGCCCGGCCGCCGCTATGCGATCCGATTCGAGGGACACTTGAGGGGCGGCACAGCTGTGTCCGACGGAGCCGTCCTCTCTCCGCGTTCGCCTGAATTTTACTGCCCAAGTTGGCAGGGGGTGGGAAAAAATGCGCCCTCATCGGATCAAGAAATGCCTCCTCGGATCGCACTTGGCGTTATCCGCCCTCCCTCACCCCTCTTCGACTCCCTCCCCCCACCCCCCCCCCCCCTTTCGAGTGCATGTGATATCGGAATGGTAAGCTGGAAGCAGCACGAAAAAATATGACGGCCGCTGCACCTTGCAGTGAACACCCCCCCCCTCTCCCCCTTCCTCTTTTTCCTCCTGTGGTTTTGCGCGGCTCCACGTCGTGATGCGACAGGTTAGCTTGTGGTTGGGCCTCTTCTTACCCTCCGCCTCTTCGCCGAGCGGGGTTATTCCTCATCGCATCCATCACACACACACACACACACACACACACACACACACACACACACACACACACAGACTAACGGGTGCTCGCGCTGACGCCGTATAGCACCTTCATCCAAACTCGCAACAACAACAACAACAAAGTTTATTTTGAAATTCCCGCCGCGCGTGCCAAGGATAACTTGTTTCTTGTTGGCGGCTCCCACAATGCACCGCCGTAGGTAAGCAGCGAGGTGCTAAAGCCTCATTATTAAATAGAACAACAAAAAAGGGGGGGAAACGACAACTAAAAAGACACGCATTGCGGCGTGTACAAATTATTCACACAAACGAGTCGACACCACTTCAATAACACGCCCGTTCTGTTTGACGGCCCGCCGCCGCACTGGTGGAGCAAAAACCGAAGCAACACATTCTCTGCTCTACATCCCGCCGCGCCGCACCCTGCCCCCCACCCCCCATTTTGCCTCTCCGGCCAAAGTTGAGCGGCTTGTCCGAAAATTGCATTACTCGGTCGGAACTTGGAGAAGGGTTAATCCCTCACATTGAGGCGTATAGGTCGGCCGGCTCAGGCACGGACCAACGTGCACGCACGGCTGGAGAGGGAGGAGGAGGAGGAGGAGGAGAAGGAGGAGGAGAAGGAGGAGGAGGAATAAGAAGAAGAAAAGGGAAAAGAAGAAAGAAGAAAAGAAAAGGGAAAAAGGGAAAAAGAAGAAGAAAAAAAGAAGAAAAAAAAAGAAAAGAAGAAGAAGAAGGAAGAAGAAGAAGAAGAAGAGGAAAAGAAAGAAGAAAGGAGGAGGAAGCGCCTGTGAGGTAGGCCGTCCCGGCGGCGCCGGTGCTGGGCGGGCTGGCCCAGCCGCTGGACGGCAGGCGCTCTCGGGCCGGGCAGGGCAGGAGGGAGGAGAGAGGAGTGGTAAGCCCGGGCGGCGCGCTTGCCGGAGGTCCGGCCTGAGTTGTTGCGGCGAATACCTTTTCATGAGTTTCCCGGCCGATAATATAATAGATTTGGAAGTTGTTCGGCCTGAGCCTTGAACTTGGAGGCGCAGGGGGTCCCCCTCGGCGTGGAGCAGGTGGCCGAGACCGAGCCGTCCCCTCTGCCTCCGTGACCCTCCTCCAGGCCCCCCGCCCCGCCCCGCCCCCCCCCCCCCGCCCCGCCCCGCCCGCCCCACCGCACTCCGCCACCCCCCACCTCCGACCGCCAAAACCGCACGAGTGTTTCTTGCCGAGGTGCTCCAAAGGCTGACGCCGAAAGACCGCTTCGTCGCTCTCTCTCTCTCACACTCACGGGGCGTCCCCGGCGTCCCCTGGGGGTGCGAGAGAGACAGAGCGACGGGGCGGCGCCTCGGAACGGGGCGGCTGCACTGCAAGGCCCTCCCAGCACAATGGCATTCCGCGGGTCGGCGACTATCTCAAGCGATGAAGGCAACAGCGTGCATTAGTCACAGTTTGAAGCGACTACTACACCCGAAAATAAAAGCTTTTCCTTTTTCATGTTTTTTGGTATTTTCAAGGTAAAAAGATCCAACTACTGTATAAGGCTACTTTGTGCCTTAAAAATGTTGGTCGAAGTAATTGCCTCTCGGCGGTAAAAATCCCAGACGCGTTTTGAGCTCCAGAGTCGCTGGGACTCGAACCGAACGTGTGACCCCACCAATGGATGCTCTCCGAACGAGGAATCCATTGGTGCGGTCACACGTTCGGTTCGAGTCCTCCTAAGCGACTCTGGAGCTCAAAACGCGTCTCGAGTTTTGGCCGCCTCCACCGGTCTGCCGGCCCGCTGTGCGCCCTCCGCTTGCAGAAGCGGGTCGACGCGTAAGAAGAAAAGTAACGAGCAAGTACCAGTAAGTCACGCGAGTACCCCCCCCCCCCCCTCTCTCTCTCGGAGACGCAGCGCAAACTCGGCGCGCTTTTGGACCTCTAAGAAAGCCGGTGAAATGAGCGTGGTGCGGAGTCCCGGAAGAGTAGGTGGATCAGACTGGCAAAGAGTGAAACTCATTTGGACTTGTGATGGACTACCCCTCGGGGGGGAAAAGAGTGGTGCGCGCTCACGTCACGTACCCTGCTTACACCGAGCCTTGCTCGGGTTGCTCTGATTATAAACCCACAAATACACTCACACACTCACTCACTCACTCTCTCTCTCACACACACACACACACACACACACACTAATACACACACATACGCAGACTGTTCTGTTCTTTCGGTTTCGCGTGCCTTGCACATCCCTAACCAGATCACACACCACAAAGGGACAAAACGGCAGCCAGGAGCGGGAGACTTGGACGAGTCAGAGGTGAACTTACAGTGGAACCTGCAGGCCGATGTCGAGAGTCGTTTTCGTCGCTCTGTCTCACTCGCACTCGTGGTACGCGCCATGAGTGCGAGAGAGAGACAGCGATGAATTTTTCCAGGGGGAGCGAGTTACCAAGTCAGCAGCTCCACCGTAATATGCAGAATCTTCACTGTAAGACTTTCAGAGTGCACATGTTTCCCCGCTCTGCCGCGATCGTGTCTGACCGGAGACTCCCCTCTCCCCCTCCCCCCCCCCCCCCCCTCCTCCCCCCTCCCCCACCCCTTCCGCCCGCCAAGACCGCAGTGTTGAGGCATGCATTATACGCGTGGCGGGCTGGCGCGCTGCAGACTCATTCCGAGAGTCGTTTCCGTCGCCCTGTCTCTCTCGCACCGACACGGGACGCCCCGCGAGTGCGAGAGAGACAGAGCGACGAGAACGACTCTCGGAATCAGTCCGCTGGCGCGGTTTGCGGCTGCCAGAGCTGGCTCTGTTTTTTCATTCAGTCGAGCATACGCGCCGAGAAAAGTTGCCTGATGAGGCTGATGTAATACAAGTGCCTCGGAAGTTCTACTGCCCTCATCAGTGGTCGCCCGCGGCGGGGCCGGAGGGGAGGGGAGGGGAGGGGGGGAAGGGGGAGGGGAGGGAAATCGAAGGTAGGCCAGGCACGTATGGAGGCGGGAGATGGATCTGTTGTACCTGGGGCCGCTCCGCCGCTCGCGGGCTCCTAAACCGGCGGCGCACAGTGGGCCAGAAGACCGGTGGAGGCGGACAAAACTCCAGACGCGTTTTGAGCTCCAGAGTCGCTAAACGGGACTCGAACCGAACGTGTGACCCCACCAATGGATTGCTCTCCGAACGAGGAATCCATTGGTGGGGTCACACGTTCGGTTCGAGTCCCATATAGCGACTCTGGAGCTCAAGACGCGTCTAGAGTTTCGGCCGCCTCCACCGGTCTTCTGGCCCACTGTGCGGCGCCATCCACGTCCCTCCCCGAACGCGATGGGCTGTGGGGCCAAGCGCTCTGGAGAGTTGCTTTCGTTCTTTTGCCTGTCACGCGGCCAGGTTTTTTTTATTGTTCAGGAACAATGTACGCGCACGCACCGTGTGAACATCGATATATTAAACATTTTATTCCTTTTTTGTTCCTCTGGAATGACCTGACCGTCGCATCAGGAGGAATGCGAAAACTCTCGAAATTTTTGTCCATCCCGACCTTTGTTCCACAGTGATGGAGCTTGTTCTTCCAGTGGACGCTGCCAGGGAGACAATCATGCAAATGCGGCCTCGCTTTTTTCCCTTGTTGTTTTGTTGCTAACGGTGTTGTTGTTTGGCAGTTCTCCGCGGACGGCAACCACTCCGTGAGCGTGCTGGGCTTCGTGCCGGGCATTGACGACGACGGCCGCTACCTGACGTGCCGCGCCGAGAACCCGTCCATCCCGGACTCGGCACTGGAGGACCGCTGGCGGCTGGACGTGCAGTGTGAGTGCCATCCTATGCCACAGTGGGCCAGAAGACCGGTGGAGACGGCCAAAGCCCCGGACGCGTTTCGAGCTCCAGCGTCGCTAAACGGGACTCTAACCGAACGTGTGACCCCACCGATGGATTCCTCGTTCGGAGAGCAATCCATTGGTGGGGCCACACGTTCGGTTCGAGTTCTGTTCAGCGACTCTGGAGCTCAAAACGCGTCCGGGGTTTCGTCCGCCTCCAGTGGCCTTATGGCCCACTGTGCTATCTCTGAGCAGTGAATAATTTCCGTTGATGAGTCGCGCTATTATGCTCGTTTTCCATCATCACACTGACGCCCATATGCATGCGTGCTGTTTCGTGCCCCCCCCCCCCTCCCTTTTTGACTCGAACTTGGGCGGACCAGCCGTACGCTGCCGCTTCTAGTTAGGTGTGATATTGTAAAGTTGCGCACGAAAGAGACTCTCGCAGCAGCACCGTTTCTGCAAAGAGTCTCTCTCTCTCTCTCTCTCCCCTATCTCTCTCTCTCTCCCTCCCTCTCTCTCTCCCTCTCTCTCTCTCTCTCCTCCCCCCCCCCCTCCCTCCCCAGCCCGCTCGCTCGCTCCACTTAAGCAAAGACTTTGAGCGTACATAGTAACGGGAGCTAAAGTTGAGGGCGTCGGCGCGACTTTGTTGAAGGTGAAAAGGTGCGGCCGTCTGCGACACCTCCTGCAGTAAAGCGGACAAATAAAAATAGTTCGCTGAAGAAGAAAAAGAAAAGAAAATGCATTATTTTTAGTTTATGTTGTTGTTGTTGTTTCCTTTGGCGGCGGTTGCGGCCTTTGTCTGGCTGCAACTGCACTGCGAAATGCGCGATTCGTCACGGTCTGCCTAGCGACTCAGAGTCGCTCCGGCGCTCTGTCTCTCTCGCACTCATGGGGCTCTCCGTGCGGGTGCGAGAGAGACAGAGCGACGAACCGATCTTGTGAATGACCCGGCTGGTGCCACTTTGCTAGGGGAAGTCCGGTTGCGATCGGTCGAGCCACACTAGCCACAGACACTGCAGCACTGTGGAGGGGGGACGATTTGTTACGTGATTACTTAAACGACTGAGGATGATAAGTTTCTACTCAGTGCAGTGCAGGCCCCGCTGCAACGAAGGCCGTCCGGATGCTGCTGAACTGGATACTCAGCGAACTGGATAACGATGAGGAGCCGACTGCAACAAAAACGTTTCGATAACTGATTTTTTAAGAAAAGGGTGACTTAACAACACGGTCCAGTCGTTTGAAGGCGAGGGTCGCATTTTCCTCTTCCCGGGGGCTTCCTGTTTCCTGCGGACTGAGTGTCGTTTTCGTCGCTCTGTCTCTCTCGCACTCATGGGGCATCGCGCGCAGGTGCGAGAGAGACAGAGCGACGAAAACGACTCTCGGAATCAGTCTGCTGCTGCTTCCCACCCAGGAAGCGAAAAGTCGATCTTGGCAAGACCAGCGCCACGGCAAGGCAAGGCGTGGCGTGCACAGTGGGCCAGAAGACCGGTGGAGGCGGACAAAACTCCGGACGCGTTTGGAGTTCCAGAGTCGCTAAATGGGACGCGAACCGAACGTCTGACCCCACCAATGGATTCCTCGTCTGGAGCGCAATCCATTGGTGGGGTCACACGTTCGGTTCGAGCCCCATTTAGCGACTCTGGAGCTCAAAACGCGTCTAGAATTTTGTCCACCTCCACCGGTCTTCTGGCCCACTGTGGCGTCGCCCTGCATCAGATTGGCCCTTTCCGGTCCTAATGCCCAGAGATTGGCACGGAATGGATTCCCACCGCCTGGCGGACAGACAGACAGACAGACAGACAGACAGGCCCGGACAAACAAGTGGCGTGGCCGAGACGGCGGTCGAGTAGGGAGACACCGCGACGCCGAGACGCGACGCGACGCGACGCCAGGAAGCGGGGAAGCTAACGCGAAGCGACGCGGAACGGCACTTTCTCCAGGACTCATTTATTCATTTGCAGAGTGAGAGTGCATCCCCTGGAGCTGGATTCACCGCGCAGTCCGCCTGTTAGTCTGTCTGCCTGTCTGCCTGCCTGTCTGTCTGCCTGTCTGTCTGTCTGTCTGTCCGCCTGTCCACCCGTCCGCGCGCCCGCGTCGCCGTAAAACAAACAAACAAACATAAAATGAAACGCCATTAGCAAAGCATCGGTCTTCCTCCCGCCGAGCTCGCCGAGGACGAGGCCGCCGCGGAGACTGCCCGCCAGCCGACTGATTCCGCACACGCTCCGTCTCTGTCGCACTCACGGGCCGTCCCGTAGGGGTGCGAGAGAGACGGGGCGTGGCACAGTGGGCCAGAAGACCGGTGGAGGCGGCCGAAACTCTTGACGCATTTTGAGCTCCAGAGTCGCTAAATGGGACTCGAACCGAACGTGTGACCCCACCAATGGACTCCTCGTTCGGAGAGCAATCCATTGGTGGGGTCACACGTTCGGTTCGAGTCCTGCTAACCGACTCTGGAGCTCAAAGCGCGTCTGGGGTTTTGTCCGCCTCCACCGGTCTTCTGGCCCACTGCGCCATGCTCCGGGCGGGCCCGGATGCAATTATGTTGCTCAAGAGTGGCGCTGGAACGCCGGCACGCCGCGGCACGCTGGGACGGGCAAACGGAACGCTTGCGTCGCTCGCCTCGGTCGGTCGCTGTCTCCTGGACTACTTGGACGGCCGCGCTTTTGCCTTTTGTCCCGAGCAATCTCTGGGGAATAACCTGAGAGAGAGAGAGAGAGAGAGAGAGAGAGAGCGCTGCAGCTGGGTCCTAACTACCTCCACGGAGCGTTTGGCTTGCCGTTCGAAATGGTCGTCTGCCCGCCCCGCGGCGCTGTGCGCTGCCAGGCAGGGGAGTCCACGGTGCCGCGGCCCGAAAATAGGCGTTCCGGATTCGGAATGACGTCCCAGGCTTGATGTTGGTCCCGGGCGCCCGTTTTCGCCACATGCCGCGCCGTCCTCGGATCATCCTCGGATCGTCAGCGCGACTCAGGTGTCCTCTTTGCGGTTTTATTAATTTTCTTGTGGCGGTGTCCTCCACGTGGTGCCCGACGGAAGGGTTGTTGCAGGCAGGCTGCTCTCATGCTGCCACTGACCGCACGGTCCGAGAGGGGAGGGGCAGGGGCAGGGCAGCAGGTGCTTACATTTAGTGGACCGCACCCTCTGCACGCTGGCCTCCTTATACGTGCTCTACCCCCCCCCCCCCCCGCTTTCTTCCCCTTACTTCCCCCTCCAACCCTTCACTTCGTAGTGTTTGCCCGGTTTCTGCCACCATATTGTCTGCTTCATATTGTCACGTCCCCCTTTTTTCCGTCTCTCTCTCTCTCTCTCTCTCTCTCTCTGCTCTCTCTCTCTCTCTCTCTGTCTCTCTCTCTCTCTCTCTCTCTCTCTCTCTCTCTCTCTCATCTTCCTCGCGCTCTTTCTTTCATCGACTTGCCGCCCCTCTCCGTTTTTTTGCTGCCGTGTGTGCTAATGCAATGCTGGTGCCGAAACTCAATTTTCCGGAACGGATGGGTTTAGCTTCGACGCAGCGTGTACCGTTGGCGCTCTTGACGTGGATGCGATCGACAACGCCCAATTTCACTCTCCGGGCCTCGAGAGAAGTTTCAAAATCGGTGCTGGCACGGCGGGGCGCACCGCCACAAGCTCTCCCTGGAAACTGTCAGGTCCCGGGTTCGAGTCCGATTGACGTCCGATTTTAGGGACCAGATTCCACCTGTCCAATGTCAGTTGGGCGTGTATTTTTTTCAGCTCCACTGTCTGTGGGCGTCTGTGTACTATCCAGACAGTTTGTAGTGTAGGTCAGTACTGTCCAAGCAAGAAAGCAAGATGGAGACCTCTGTCCCAGTCGAGGTTTGCAATGTCTCCCGGTTCCATTCATTGAAGCAGACGTCTCGCTCGGCCTTGACTCGGACTCATCACCCGAAACAAAATGGCAGCCCGGTTGTTGTCCCACTCTCGTTTTCATTTCGCTCGAGTGTCTCTGCCTTTCCAAAGACCAAAGACCGCCCGGCGCGGGCCTCGCTGCTTCACGGGGACCGGCGGGGACCGACGGGGGATGGAGGAGGGAAAGCAGTGTCTCGAAAGTTGGCCGGCGACGGTAATCGAGATCTCGAAACGCGGCAAACCCGAAGGCAGCCCGAAGGCAAACCCGAAGGCAAACCTGAAGGCAACCCCGAAGGCAAACCCGAAGGCAACCCCGAAGGCAGCCCGAAGGCAACCCGAAGGCAACCCGAAGGCAACCCGAAGGCAAACCGAAGGCAACCAGAATGTGGCCTGAAGGCAATTCGAAGGCAATTCGAAGGCAATCCGAAGGCAACCCGAAGGCAAACCCGAAGGCAAACCCGAAGGCAAACCCGAAGGCAAACCCGAAGGCGAGCCGCCGCCGTGGCCTCCTTTCTCCTGTTCGCGCCGCCGTGCTCCGCCGTGGCGACCACGCCACTGGCACGGCCACGGCGCAGACGAGCAGCAGGCAAAGTTTTCGGATGAAACGGCAGCAGTGGTAAAAGCCGGGAAGTGGCGGGGCCGGGCGGGGCCGGGCGGGGCCGCTCAGCAGCTTGGGAAGGTGATGAGGCTTGGGGTTTGGAGGAGGGGGAGGGGGACTTGGTTGCCGCGCTCGCGCCCACGCCCCGCCACATTAAAAGGCGATCTCTGTGTCAATTATATGCCGGGCCGACCAAGGACGCGCCGTGTTCGCGTCCCCCTCCTTTCTTTCCCCCCTCCCCTTCCCCTTCCATTCTTTCCACCTCATCAGGGTCAGTAGCGCGGCCAAGACGTCCTCCCCGAATGAAAATTCGTTTCTTTCCGCTTTGAACCGTATGCCCTTGCGCCGAACTGTTCGCTCCCAGAGAGAGAGAGAGAGAGAGAGAGAGAGAGAGAGAGAGAGAGAGAGAGAGAGAGAGAGAGAGAGAGAGAGAGAGACGGACAATGTAGACGCATAGTAGTCCGCACTTGCCGCACTCCGGCTGTATCTGCAAGTTTACGCTGCACATCTCTGGCGCGTACACTTGGCGAACGCTCCGCGAACTTCCCCCGTTGAGTGTACCTGGAGCCTATCGCACCCACGCAGCGGCAACCCCGCGAGAAAAACGTCAAACTCGACGGTGGGTCGTCTCAACCTGAGCGTTCCAGGGTTCAGGCAGGGCTGCCACATGAATAGGCGACAAATTCCCACGAAGCACCAGTGTCGAAAGGGTTGCCAACCTCAGGCTGCCTACTACGCGACGTCTTGGCGTCGCTACCGAGAAGTAGCACAGTGGGCCAGAAGACCGGTGGAGGTGGCCAAAACTCCAGACGCGATTTGAGCTCCAGAGTCGCTAAACAAGCTTCGAACCGAGCGTGTTGTGACCCAACCAATGGATTGCTCTCCGAACGAGGAATCCATTGGTGCACTGAGAAAACCTTACAAACTATTTTGGGCCTTACAAAGAAAAGTAGTTTGTATAACAAAGTATTTTGAGCATACGTAAGCTACGGACGTTGAATTTACGAACTGTTCTCGTATAACAAAGTATTTTAGTTTGTTATATGTATGCTCAAAATACTTCGTAAGGTTTTAAGAGTGTGGGGTCACACGTTCGCTTCGAGTCCCATTTAGCGACTCTGGAGCTCAAAACGCGTCCAAGAGTTTTGTCCGCCTCCACCGGTCTTCTGGCCCACTTGAGTAGCCTACGGCAGGCTGGGGTTGGCAACCCTTTCAACACTGGTGCATCGTGGTAATTTTCGCCTAGTAATGTTGGCAGCACTGGGTCGAGGCCCGGGACATGCACTCGCCCATCAATGCGCGCCTTTTCTCCGCCGTTTAGTGCAGCGGTTCGCCGCCGCGGCGCTGGCGTCCATTCCGAAAGTTTTGGCGGGAAGGCAGAGCGTTATGGCCGTTGGGGCAAACGGCGCGGTGATGGGCCGTGTGCCGCGCAGTGCCACGCTGTGCCGCGCGATGCACTCCCAGGGAATAAAACAACAACAAAACGAAAAGTGCTTCCCTCTCCTGACGTCGTTTTGTTTTTATTTTCACTCGCTTCCGCTTGTTGCAGATTCGCCCGTGGTGACGCTCCGCATGGGCGCCAGCCTCAACCCCAACGACATCAAGGAGGGCGACGACGTGTACTTCGAGTGCAACATCCGCGCCAACCCCAAGGCGTACCGCCTGGCCTGGTTCCACGCGGTGAGTCCAGAGTGGATTTGCCAGAAGACCGGCGGAGGCGGCCAAAACTCCAGACGCGTTTTGAGCTCCAGAGTCGCTACATGGGACTCGAACCAAACGTGTGACCCCACCAATGGACTCCTCGTTCGGAGAGCAATCCATTGGTGGGGTCACACGTTCGGTTCGAGACCCATTTAGCGACTCTGGAGCTTAAAATTGCGTCTAGAATTTTGACCGCCTCCACCGGTCTTCTGGACAACTATGCACTATTAGCCTTTTCGAGCCGAAAATTCTTGCTGCTGCTGCTGTTGCCCGCTGTTGGCAGGGTTGTTGTGTTGTTGTTGTTGTTGTTGTTGTTGTTTTCTAAACGCATGTTTGCTGCAGGGCCGCGAGCTGCAGCACAACGTGTCGGCCGGCATCATCCTGAGCGACCAGAGCCTGGTGCTGCAGGGTGTGACGCGCGTCTCGGCCGGCGACTACGCCTGCATGGCCGCCAACGGCGAGGGCAAGGGCACCAGTAACCTCGTTGCGCTCAACGTCATGTGTAAGTACCATTTTCGAAAAAAATCGAAAACGAAAATGAGCTTTAGAGTTGCTAAATGAGACTCGAATCGAACGTGTGACCCAACCAATGGATTGCTATCCGAACGAGGAATCCATTGGTGGGGTCACACGTTCGGTTCGAGGCCTGTTTAGCGACTCCGCATCTCTAAACGCGTCAAGGGTTTGCGCCGCCTCTACCGGTCTTCTGGCCCACTGTGAAGCGTGGGCGGGGCCGACAAGCCGCCTGTCTGCGCGCTGCGGTGGCTGCGGTCGATGCCTCGCTGCGTTCTCCGCCCCGTGACGTCACACAGCCTCACATTGTTTGCGCGCCAAATTTGAAAAGCGGAGCCCTTTTCTTCCCTTTGTCGGGGGCCCTGCTCCTCGCAGTGCTCCTCCCGGCGGAGGCGGCGGCCTGATTCCTTTTCGGAGCTAAGCCTATCCGTGGCTCTGTGACACGCCTCTTTAGAGGGAGAGGCAAATAGGGCGGCCTCAATAAGAGAGACAAGGACAAGAGTCCATCTTTTCACCGGGCGGGACACGTTTTATCTCCGGACGCGCGCGGTGCCGCGGTGGAGGGGGAGGGGGGAGAGGGGGAGGGGGATGAAAAACGGAGCGGCGGAAAGCAAGATTAATGCATGAAACTCTGGATAAGCCCTCAATCAGCGCTGCCGGCTCCTTTTCACGGTGGGGCGCACCGGCAAAGAAGGAGGGGCCGGCCCACAGTGGGCCAGAAGACCGGTGTAGGAGGTCCAAACCCTTGACGCGTTTTGAGCTCCAGAGTCGCTAAACAGGACTCGAACCGAACGTGTGACCCCACCAATGGATTGCTCTCCGAACGAGGAATCTATTGGTGGGGTCACACGTTCGGTTCAAGGCCTGTTTAGCGAATCTGGAGCTCAAAACGCGTCTCGAGTTTTGGCCTCCTGCGCCGGTCCTCTGACCCACTGTGGGGGGCCGGCCCGGCTCGGTTCAGCCCGGCTCGGCTCGGCTCGCGAAACGGGAAGGAATGGGTTTGGAATCACGCATGTAGCGGTTATGACAATGTAGTGGGGCGCTCCAGCCCCGCCGCCGCTGTGCGGCTCTGCCTTGCGGGGCGGGGCGGGGCGGGGCGGGGCGGGGCGGTGCCCAAGGGGGCCGGGCTAAATCTCTGAGGCGGCGTTTGCGACGACGGTGCGGGGTGGCCGGGGGATGCTGGGGGATCTGGAGGGATTGAGGGGTAGATTGGGGCACAACAAGGACCGCCTTGGGACCTGGGGGCCGAGCCCGGCCCGGCGCGGCCAGGGGCGGCCAGAGGCCAGGGCGCAGCCGCCATCAGGGCCGGCTTGTGGGCGACCCGGATGGCTCCATTCATCGCCTGCACGTCATACGCCGCGAACGTGCGGCCCGGCCGCCCGGTCCCGGAACGTCCTAGAGGCTGACTCCAGTGACTCCAGTGCACCAGCGTCGGGAGGGTTGCCGACCTAAGCTGAGCAGATCACAGTGAGCCAGAAGACCGGTGGAGGCGGTCAAAACCCCGGGTCGCGTTTTGAGCTCCAGAGTCGCTAAACAGGAGTCGAACCGAACGTGTGACCCCACACTGATAGAAAAAAGTACAGAAATTACACGGAACATGTCTGGTCAATTTTTTACCTGGACCGTCCGTACCTTGCCAACCACGGAGGTTCTGTACATGTTTTCTGTACCCGTTTACATGAGATCCTTATGGGGATCACAGAGAACCAGTACAGAAGGTCCGTACCTTTTCGGTACCCGTCTGTACCCCATTTTTCCGTACATTTTCCGTGCCAAACCACGGAGTTTTTTGCAGTGCACCAATGGATTCCTCGTTCGGAGAGCTATCCATTGGTGGGGTCACACGTTCGGTTCGAGTCTGAGGTTGGCGACCCTTTCGACACTGGGCGTTGTCTGGCACACTGACAGTCTGCCTCTCTCTCTGCCGCAGACGCGCCGACGTGCCGCAGCACGCGCGAGGAGCTCCACGGCGCGGGCCGCCACGACACTGTAACGCTGCGCTGCGAGGTGGACGCGCACCCGGCCACCGTGTCCTTCCACTGGACCTTCAACAACTCGGGCGAGTCGAGCGACGTGCCGGCCGCCAGGTTCTCGTCGCGCGGCGCCACCTCTACGCTCAACTACACGCCCGCCAACGACATGGACTTCGGCACGCTGGCCTGCTGGGGCTCCAACGCCGTGGGCCGCCAGCGCGCGCCCTGCGTCTTCCAGGTCGTCGCCGCAGGTAACAACAACACGGACTTTGCGTTTTTTTTTTGTTTTTTTTTTTGTGGTGCGGTGGGACCGCTCCGCTAAGGGGGTTGACGGATGCCAACGCCTCTCTGACTCCGAGCGTCACATTGAATTCCTGTCCCCCCCCCCTCTCTCTCTCTCTCTCTCTCTCTCTTCTCTCTCTCTCTCTCTCTCTCTCTCTCTCTCTCTCCCGCACTCTGAGGCCGCGGCGTGGGTGCGAGGGAGACGGCACGCTCTTCGGGAAGCGGCTCGCTGCGGCGCTCACGTGCGCCAGCAGACGGATTCCGAGAGTCGTTTTCGTCGCTCCGTCTCTCTCGCACTCATGGGGCGTCCCGTATAGGAGCGAGGGAGACAGAGCGACGAAGGCGGCCCTCGGAATCAGTCGACAGGATACCTGCGCCGAGTCGGTGTGCCCCTGCCCCACGTGGGGCCCCGCCGCCTGTCCTCCCCGGGGGGTCTCTGAGGCAGCCCTGTCAACCGCGCTGACGAGAGAGAGAGAGAGAGAGAGAGAGAGAGAGAGAGAGGAAAGAGAGAGAGAGCGAGAGGGAGAGAGAGAGAGAGAGCGACGAAGACAGACGACGGTGGCGCGGGGAGGGTGTCAATTCTAGCTCCTTGTTTGCTTTCAATTTGGATGTGATAATGTAGCCTCCATGATGACGCCGCCTTGGCGTTTTGCGGTGTCGTGGCATCGTCGTCGAGGAGACGCCGAGACGGCCCTGTTTCTCGGTCCTGCGTTCGATAATGGGCCAAAAAATATGAAAGAACAAAAGCAGACGGGTCGGGGTTGTTGCGTGTTTGAAGCCGTCGCAACACAGTGGGCCAGAAGACCGGTGGAGGCGGACAAAACTCCAGACGCGTTTTGAGCTCCAGAGTCGCTAAGCAGGGCTCGAATCGAACGTGTGACCCCACCAATGGATTGCTCTCCGAATGAGGAATCCATTGGTGAGGTCACACGTTCGGTTCGAGGCCTGTTTAGCGACTCTGGAGCTCAAAACGCGTGTAGAGCGAGGTGTAGAGTTTTGTCCGCCTCCACCGGTCTTCTGGCCCACTATGACGTGACCGACCAGGTCGTCCAGCATTTGGGTAGCACCTCTCTCTCTCTCTCTCTCTCTCTCTCTCTCTCTCTCTCTCTCTCTCTCTCTCTCTCTCTCTCTCTCTCTCTCTCTCTCTCTCTCTCTCTCTCTCTCTCTCTCTCTCTCTCTCTCTCTGCGAGTGTTGGCGTGCGTGTTTTAATGATTCGCTGGCTGTCCGGGCCGCCTAATTTGTTGCAGGACGGCCCTTCCCGCCCTCCAACTGCTCCCTGACGAACCACACTTCGGAGTGGGTCCGCGTCGAATGCCTGGAGAACTTCGACGGCGGCCTGCCCCAGGGCTTCCAGCTCGAGCTGCTGGAACTTCCCTACCTGGTGCCCAAGTGAGTAACTCTGTCTCTCTCCCTCCCTCAGTTTGATTCCTTGTTCTGTTTTCCGCCACCGACACGCCCCTGCCGCTAAGTCAAAAAGTTTTCAAGTGGCGGAGAGCAGTCCTGAGGCGCGGCAGTCTTAGTCAGTCCCGCCCCCTCCTGACGTCGTTTAGTCGAAATGTCGGTGGAGGAATTCGACGCCTGCCGGCCGCCGAAAGCCCCCACGATGTACCAGTGTCGAAAGGGTTGCCCACTTCGCAACATCTGGGCTTTGCTCCTTGAGAAGGTGCCAGGCCTGGGCCTGGTAGGCAGACTGAGGTTGGCAACCCTTGCGACACTGGCGCATCTTGGGAATTTTCGCCCACAGCTGACAGCAGATCGAAGCAGACTGATTAAAAGAGTCGTTTCGTCTCGTCACTCTGTCTCTCTCGCACCTTTACGGGACGCCTCGTGAGTGCGAGAGAGACAGAGCGACGGAAACGGCTCTTGGAATCAGTGCGCAGGAGGGCGAGTGGCGATACCCCCGGTCCAGCGCAGGCCGCAGGGAGTAGGTTCGGAGCTACTCCCGGCGCGAGAGCCCCTGTGAATCGCGGGGTAGGCAACGCGCGCGCTCCGCTGCGCGCGGACCAGGATGTTGCCTACCGCGCAGGGGCTGAGCTGCGCTGCCCGCCGCCGAGAGGCCCAGGCGGTCAAAGTCCCGGACTGGTTTTGAACTCCAGAGTCGCTAAATGGAACTCGAACCGAACTGGCGACCCCACCAATGGATTGCTCTCCGAACGAGGAGTCACAAGGGGTCACACGTTCGAGTCCTATTCAGCGACTCTGGAGCTCAAAACGCGTCTAGTGTTTTGGCCGCCTGCGCCCATCTTCTGGCCCGCTGTGCGCCGCCTCGAAGCCTCCCTCACGCCGCGCTTGTGGTGCTTGTGGCTTCCCAGGTACAACGTGAACGTGACGCGGGGTCCGCCCGTCATCGAGTGGCAGGGCAACCTGGAGCAGAGCTCGGCTTACCAGGTCCGCGTCTACGCCATCAACGCCAAGGGCCGCTCCGACCCCGTGGTGCTGCAGGAACTCCGCTTCAAGGGCGTGGCCAAGTACACTGGTAAGGCTGCGATGAGTTGCCGAGTCGACTGTCGAGTGCACTCCACGTATTTTAGGCGTTTCAAAGAAAAGAATCTTGTCGTGGACAACTCTGGACGCGTTTTGAGCTCCAGAGTCGCTAAACGGGACTCGAACCGAACGTGTGACCCCACCAATGGACTGCTCTGGGAAAGGAATCCATTGGTGGGGTCACACGTTCGGTTCGCGTACCCCGGGTTCGTAATTTACGAACTAGTTCTCGGTACTAAAAGTGAATGTTTTGGGTCCCTGTGCTCCAGACGCGAACCGACTGAGCCCGCCCAGCCCGCTGCTGGCCGCAGCGGCGGTGGGCGCGGCGGTGCTGGTGATCGCGTTCCTGGCCATGGCCGTGGTGCTGTGCCGGCGCCGCCAGGGCCGCCACCGGCCGGGCGAGGTGGCCGTCAACGGCATCAGCGCGGACAAGCCGCCGCCGCCCGCCACCACCGCCGTCATGATCCCCGGGCTGGACCCGGGCGAGGCGGCGCCGCACCTGGACGCGCCCGCCGCGCCGCCGCCGCACGCCAACGCACACTCCACCTTCAGGGCGGCGGGGCCGCGGCCGCCGCTGGACGACACGGACCCCGACGTCATCCCCAGCATCTACGGTCAGTTTGGAAAACCTCCCACGGTGCGCCAGTGTCGAGAGGGTTGCCAACCTCACCCCTTCGCACAGTGGGCTAGAGAAGTCCGGCGCAGACGGCCGAAGCTCTGTACGCGTTTTGAGCTCCAGAGTCGCTAAATGGGACTCGAACCGAACGTGTGACCCCACCAATGGACTGCTCTCCGAACGAGGAGTCCATTGGTGGGGTCACACGTTCAGTTCAAGTCGTGTTTTGCGACTCTGGAGCTCAAAACGCGTCTAGTGTTTTGGCCGCCTGTACCGGTCTTCTGGCCCACTGGTACATCGGGGTGCCTACAGTGTCGCTGACGTCCCTGCTCTTCCTGCTTGCAGAGCGGCGGCCGCCGAAGCAGCTGCCGGTGCACGTGTTCGCGACGCTCAACTGCCGGACGCCACAGCAGCGGCGCAGGAAAAACGAAGGCGAGAGCTGGGAGGACGACGACGCCATGTTCGAGGAGATGGAGGCCAAAGTCCGCCTGTCTTCCATGGCGTCCATGGCCTCCATGGCCACCTTGAGCAGGAGGCCGGAGCGGGGCATCGCGGGCCCCGGGGTCTGCTGGGACGGCCTGGCGCCCCTGCCGCCCCTCAGGGAGCCCCTCAGGGGGGACTTGGAGGCATGCTGCAGGGGGCCCACCCCCTTCGCAGTCAAGGAGGTGAGTGTCGCCAAACATGACTTTTGTCGCAGACTGTCCAGTGCCTTTACGGACAGATGGCCCAGTGTCTCCAAGCGCAGACTTGCCAGTACCTCGCTTTTTAAACGTTTAACTTCCTTGTTTCAGATGTCCATAAGCACATCACCGTCTCGACCACTTTCCATCAACAACATAGTGACTACTTCCCATAAGATACAAGAGAGCTGTATATAATTTATAAAAAACTTTATAAGACTGTTAAATATAACTTACTAACAAAAAAAATTGTGCCGTCTTGCTATTTGTTTTCTCTTACTATGATTTTAAAGTATATGTGTATGTGAGTGTAAATACGATTTTCTGGTTTCGTTGTAAGTTGTAATAAATAAATACTGATATGGTTAAAGCTGTTTCTTTTCCTCTGTCAATTCAATTGTCTGAACATCAGAGTGGTTCTCTCGCGGGGGCAGTGTCTCTCGCGACTTTGACTAGTGTGTCTGCATGCTCCGCTTCTAGCTGCCCATTGTGGCCGTGGCACACCTAGTCATTCGCCTCTGAAGTTGTGGGCATCTGAGCGCCCTCTGGTGGAGTGTGGAGGATCGCACAGAATGTTAAGTGATTCGCTCGCGGTGGCAGCTACGCTCGCTCATTTGACTAGTCAGCGATCATCTCTCATTTTGGTTCAAAAATTTAAATGGCCCAAATTGGAGCATGTTGTGCTGCAGGGGGAGACAGGATGTTGCATAAATGAAATACCTATTTGATTTGTCCTAAGAAACAATGTATTTAAAAGCTCAGATTGCACAATCAAAATTACACTATTTAAGTAAAATGTAATGCTTTTACTACAAAAACAATGACAGAATCAGTAAAACAATGATTAAGTTCATTTATGCAAGGCTTAGATAGAAGAATATTTACAATTATATTTCATAAATTAGTACGTGTCTGCTGCCATTAGTCTGTGTCCATTGAATCCTGCAAAAGACATCAACAATTAATATCATAAAGATTATCATTTCTAGTAATCTACATCAAGCCCACAAGGGTGCATTACCTCGTACAAGCCTCTGGCATTGTCACTTTCGCCCACAATTTCATCTGAGTCGTCAATGATGCGACGTCTGCTGCTGGAAGCTGGAGGCTTCGGCAACTTGATCTTCACCTTCACACTGCCTGCGTCTGGGTTCTCCGATACAGTCACACCACTCATAACTGAAAAGAATAAAGAAAAATATACATAGCTTAGTCACTATTGTCTAAAAACAGTAGAATATCACAAATAACATCCCACACATTGTTGAAGTGTACCTGAAGATTCATCATCTTCACCATCATCTTTGGAAAGCAACTCAGTTTCAATTTGAGCACGAGCTTGGCGGAAGACACGGAGTAATGTTACAGAGTCATTGTATAAATCACTTCCTTCTTCATTAAAAGTTTGAGCATTGGTGCACATAAGAGTGAAATCTTTCTCCAAGTCATCCATTGAAGCGCACTGTAAGAAAGTTCCCAGTCAGCATTGCACAAAATTTTTCATAATACTGTAATAATAATAAAAATCCACAGCAGAATTGATCAGTCAACAAGTACCTTGTTATCATTAATGCGCTGACTTAATTTTTTAATATCCATGGGCTTCTTGATAACCTCATAATAATATGGGAGAGATTTCTTAGAGGGCAACTTCACAAATGGTTCAGCAATAGGCCTGTCATCTCTGTAAAAAAATAAGATAGAAATGTGGCAAAATTAAACACTGGAAATGGTAATTACAAAACAGCATAAATAAATCTGTCAAGTTAACTTACTCTGTGTATTTCATAACTATTTCAATCACACAACGCATGGCATGTTTCATATTACTGGACACATCAAGCTTAGCCTTTTTCCGGGAGGAGTGTGAAGAGCTATCCTCCTCCTTGTGTTTCTTCTTCCGTGACTTTTTCTTTGACTTTCTATGACCTCCATCGACTTCTTCTTCCTCCTCTTCTTCACCTCCATCTTCTTCTATAGCCTGTTTATAAAAGAAAAATGAAGGGGTGAGATTGCAGTATACCACCGCAGAAATGCAACAGTGCTACTGTTGGAATCTTTGGACATGACATGGCAGAAGATGGATGACTTACCTTCAACCATTCTCTCTCTGTCAAGCTGTCAGTGTAATCAACCTCCTTCCTTTGCCTGGAACCTCGGCCTAGTTCTTGCTCTTCATCCTCTTCTTCACACATGTTTTCAATCTAAATCAGATCAAAAGAAAAAGAAAAGCCATGTTTCAGCAATATGTTTAAAAAAAAAACAAGGGTTTTAATTCTAAAGTACAAGTGCTGCTAAAGTTTACCTCCTCCTCATTTCTGTTGAGGAAATCAGGGAGTTCATCCTCCTGAATAAGTCTATTGGTTGTTTCGTTTTGACGCCTCTCTATGTCCATCTTTTGGAACAAGTCAAACTCATGTTCATGGCGTGCTATCATTTGATTCACAACTTCATCATCTGGCACTTCATTTTCCTCCTAAAAAGAAAAAAAGAAATAAGAATTGATAAATTACTGCATCTTTATAAAGTGATATACAGAAGCACTGAGGCAAACCGAACAAACCTCATCATCTCTGTCATCCTGATGTAGAATGCTGTGCAAGAACTGTCTTCTTTCAGAGCCAGTAGACTTCTGGTCAAACATACCAGCTTGGATAACCTTCTCATCCATATTCAATTTGTATTTTGCAGCAGCCAAAATTCTCTCTTCTACTGAGTTGACAGTCATGAGACGTAAAACTCTGACCTCATTCTTTTGACCAATACGATGAGCTCTGTCTTGAGCTTGCAAATCCTTGAAGTTGGGAGGAAATGAACAAGATAATGACAACCATGCTACATTACATAGTAACCCAAGAAAAAAAAAAAGGGAGCCTGAATTCTTACTTGATGTGGATTCCAATCAGAGTCAAAAATGATAACTGTGTCTGCAGCTTGTAAATTCAGACCCAGACCACCAGCTCTCGTACTCAGAAGGAAGAGGAAATATTCAGAAGTAGGGTCATTGAAACGTTTAAGAAGATCTCCTCTGTCCTCAGCCTTTGTTGTTCCATCAAGACGCAGGTATGAGAAACCCCGCCAATTCAGGTAATCCTAATACAGACAGAAAAGCAAATTGTGAAAAGAGAGTTCATCTCTCATGATGAATATTATTTTGATTCAGTTGCAAAAACATTGGAGTACTCACTTCAAGTATAGTCATGAGCTGTGTCATTTGACAGAAAAGCAAACACCTATGGTTTGTTGTTTTCAATTTGGGGAGTATTCTGTCCAGTAGCTCAAACTTGCCTGAGGCTCGGAATAGATCCGGACTGAAAAAGAAAACAAAAGAAATCTACAGAACAATCCAAAAGGTAAGAAAATTGAAACATTCCAATTTCAAATACATACCCAGTCACAATGCCACTGTGGTGGCCATGATGCTCACAGTAAGCCTTTTCAATGTGTTGGAACATGAAGGGATGGTTGCAGAGTTTGCGCAGTTGCATGATGGTATTCATAAGGGTCTTAGCTCCTCCCTTGCCATGCTTTCCTTTCTCAGAGCCATCAGTAAGCATCACGCCTTGAGTCTGCATCACCCTAAAAATCATAAAACATGGCAATGTGATACATGTCACAAAAGAAAACGGAACCAATTACATAAACAGGAATATTCAAAAAGAAGAATCTCACTTGTATAGGACACGTTGTAGACCAGACATATCACATTTAATGATGTATTCAACCTTATCAGGAAGTTGTGACTCTACTTCTCGTTTCAGACGCCGCAACAGGAAAGGACGCAATACTTTGTGGAGACGTCGAATAATAAGAATTGTCTCTTCTTCATTCAACTCAACCTAAAAAGAAAGCAGGCAAAAAATATTAAGAAACGACACTAGAAAGCAAAACACTTTTTCTTATTGAGACAGGTGAGCATTGCAGTACCTTCTCTCCAGTGGTAGCAAATGGAGCATTGAACCATTGCTCAAAAGTGGAGCAAGACTTGAATATAGAGGGCAGCAAGAAATTAAGTAAGGCCCACAGCTCGGGTAGCTTGTTTTGAAGGGGAGTACCAGTCAAGAGGAGACGATGTGGAGCAATGTAATAGGTATTCAGAACCTGAGTCAACTTGCAGTGATGATTTTTCATACGGTGACCCTCATCAATAATAAGGAACTTCCAATGCAACTGTAAAAGACATGCAACAAAGAAATGTCAATTTAAATGTTTAAAAAAATGATTTTGATATTAAAATATCACTGCAATACATTTATTTTGACGTACCTTTGCCAGAATTGCCTTATCTTTGATGATGTACTCGTAAGTAGTGATGAGAACGTTGAACTTGGTGGCCCTCATCTGAGATTGCAAGTCCCTGCGTACAGCTGGAGAGCCTTTATACGCTACAACTTGGACTGATGGGGCCCACTTCTCAAACTCAAGAACCCAATTGGACATCGTTGAAAGAGGCACAATGATGAGGAAGGGCCCATTCACCTTTTTCATTTCCATAATATAGGTGATGCAAGCAATGGTTTGTATGGTTTTACCCAAACCCATTTCATCAGCAAGAATACCATTCAGATTGTTGTTGTACAGAGAGACCAGCCATTCTAGACCTCGGATTTGGTACTCCTTAAGTTTACCATTGACCATGATAGAAGCCTGTTTGGTGACCTTTTCATTGACAGTGTGAGCAATGCTGTAGTATGTCTGGCCATCAGCAGAGGATTTGTACTCATCATCTTCATTTTTGGCTTTCTGAATAACATTCTTAACTTTTTCATCATCAGGTACCTCATCAAAGTCTTTGCTTTCTTCATCTTGCTGATCATCATCAGATGAAGAATCACCCTCCTCATCACTTAAATCGCTGTCAAGCTTTTCCCAGCCAGGATGGTCTTCCAGCCACTGCTGCAAATTACATGCCATAGGAGCATCATCCCCAGAAATAACAGAGCCAGAAGACTTTTCAATGACCGCTACTCTCATTTCTGATTGGGAAGACTCATCCATGGAATCGTCAAATTTATTTTTCTTCTTCTTTTTCTTTCGCTTCTGCTTCCTTTGCTCTTTCAGTTCTTTCTCCTTTTTGGCCTGCTCTGCTTTGTGCTCTGACACAAGCTTCATAAGGTTAGCGATGTACTCATCTGTCTGGTCCAGTAGGAAGGCCAATCGCTTGTCTTTCTTTTGATCAACCAATTTACGATAACCTTCTTCATCCTCGTTCATCAACCTGCGCATTCTTTCTTTCTCAATGCGCTCTTGCTCTTTCTTTTGTTCTCGTTCTGCATTAGCATGGTAGAGGATAACAGCTTTGTTCATTCGCTGAATTTTAGCTAGATTATTGCGATGGTATTCTTTGAGATCCTTTGCATGTTGAAGAACTGCATTAAGGTATTCCTGCAGACAAAATTAAAGTAAATTATAAAGTGTCTCAAATGTAAACATGTCAACATATTAAATAAATAGAATTACAAAGGAGAAATAAAGTAGATAGAACAAAACCCCACCTGATGTTTCTGTCTTCTCTTACGCTCAGCCTCGACCTTCTGCTGTTTCTCCAGCTTTTCAGTGGCACGAGCCTCCCTCAGACCTTGCCTCTTGGGCCGTTTATTAGTTTTTATACTCGCAGCTGTTTCTAGCATAGTGTCTTTGCGTGTGCAAGCAACAACCTAAAAATTTAAGAGTAATTAGCATTAATTCTTTATTAACAACCAAGATGTTGTGTGCACAAAAGACTGAAACTCTAATACCTCTGTCCGTAAGTGACGCTGGAAGTTAAGTAATCTTAAAGCAAGGAGTTCAATTTGAGCTTTCATTCTGAGATCTTCATCCATGTTTGTAGGCAGATTGTTTAGTTCATCTAAGCGTAAAGCAATACGAGCAGCCAGTCTAAAATACAAAATAAAATATCTGGTGTTAGGTAAACACATACATACAAAATCGGGACAAACTAATTCCATGAGTGAAATTACAAACCTGTTTTCTCTTTCTTGCAAAATAATAGCAGGATCTAGACCAGGTGGTTTGGTTATAAGAGTGACACGGCCTCTCTGGACAGCACCTTGCTGTGAAGAGTGTGATTGCTGCTGGGTGCCATGAATGCCAGTACCATGTTGAGATTGAGCTGAAGTTGCTGATTGTGCAGAAGTCTAAATGGATCATAGATGGATATTAAAATCATTATATTTTCGTTTTTAAAAAAAGGCACTTATAAAAAATGAAAAGAACGTATACTTACGGGGAGAGGAGGAATGGAGTCACTTAGCGGCCCTGAAATTGCACCAGCAGGGGGCATCGGTCCTTTGCCTTGAATTGCTAGCGCTAGTGTACTAGTGAGAGGCTGATTGCGAGCCAAAAGACGATATGCCATGAATTGAGTTCGCAGCTGGTTTAATTGGTTTGGTGTCAGCTTGAACTAAAAGTTTAAAAGAGAAAAACAAAACACAAAAAGAAAAATTATAGAGACAAAATAGAGCAAAAACCACAAAATTGGGACAAACCAACAACAAACTAACCGGAGGAAGAGAAGGATCCAAAACAGGTACCACAGGAGGAGGAGGACATGCTGAAAGGTGGAAATTTCGAAGAGCCACTAAATGATGATATCGAGAATCCGATTGAAGGCCTTTGTGTTCTAATGCCTCAATTGCATTTTCAATGCCTTTCAGTGTTTCTTCATGACTGCGCTTGGGTACCTTGAACAAACAAAAAATACCATATTTTTAAAGTTTCTACACAAATACTTTTTAATTGCCACTCAGAAAATCATATCATGATCAGAGGAAGATTGGTGATTTGTTACAATACCTTTGGAGCACTTGGTGGATTGGTGCAAGGACCGTTGGCTATATCATTAGAAGTATTGGAAACAATGCCATTGACGGGAGCTTCGTGCAATCCATTTGGGAGGCCATTCACTGCCCCATTCGGAGTGCCGCCACTCATCGCCATTGATGGGCCCGCTTCAACAATGCCGGGCAATCCACCTTGGCCACCAGCATCAAGTTCCTAAGACAATCAATTGGATGATTAATAGTTGAATAGAGACAAGTACAGAACTAAATGTGAAAAATGGAAGTAAGTGTATATTTTAAAAATGTATGCTGTTTCATGGGCCAGTCCTAAGCCTAAAATCAAGAGGATTGGCAGTTACAGCCTCCGGTGAACCAACGCCCTAACATAAACCCAAAAATTGTAAAAAGTTATCTCTCAATTTTCAAAATGCCTTCCTTGAAAATAATTGGAATAAAAGGGAGTTTGCACATGAAAACAACACCGTTAAGACGAGATGCCGACGCTCTAGAAGAATCGCATCAACCGCACTGACCTTCGTCAAAATCATGGTTATGGCCTGACCATGACAAGAGGGATCCGCCGTTTCCAGCAGACTATCCAACTAAAACACGAATACAACACAGGCACTTGGCAAACACAGGTTTCAGAGCGAGAAATTCAAAGTTTCTGGCCCTACGAAGGTTAGGCTTCCCGAGTTTTGACGCTCTTCGCTCTTCAAACAAAATATTTACCACCACACCGCTAGAGTGCGCTGGTGGCTTCTATGAGAAATTTTTGGCACACTCCCTGAAAAACCGGAACACTTTCAACTTCTCTCTGACGTTAAAGGATCGAATCGTTGTTTCAAATAAAACTCCCGCTAAAAGAGAGATTGTTTTGAAAATTTTTTTCAAACTTTTGCATTTTTACTGACCCGAAAGCTCCCGACTCCCTTGTTGTAGGGTTGGTCTTCCTGCGTAGGGCGGGAGGGGAGGTGCGGGTGGAGGGGTGGAGGGGGTGGAGGACATCAAGATGTTGTCCAGCGGCTCAGTAACGGTTAGGGCCTCTTCTCTTTTGCGGCCTTTCTTTCGTTGTCGGTCCTTTGCAACCATGAAGCCTTCTGTTTACGTCACGAGACCTGATGTGCCCAGTGTCGGAATCGATCTTCTCAAGGAAAAGTGAGTTGACTTCTTTCCGATCGTGATTTAACAGCAGTAATATAGCCGTGTCCGTGTCGTCTGCTATCGTCTGTGGAGACTACTCTAAAAACTTCAAAGAAGTTGCATTACAATACGTCAGCGAAACGTCATCGCGGCTTTTGGACTCATCCATTTGAAATAATTTCATTCATTCAATATATATGTGTTATATTTCCCATTGACAGATGCAATGTGGAAATGTGGTCAGAATGTAAGGCGCCACCTTACGACGAACTAATCAAAAGTGTAGCAGGAAAGAACGCCCTTTTTTGTAACATAGCAGACAAGGTTGACAAGAATGTACTTGATGCTGCTGGTAAGTGTGTTCTCTTGTCTTTCAATTCCTTAAGATCATGTGTTGCAAAGTCTAAAGTACCTTCATTATTTATTTTTCAGGCTCATCTTTGAAAGTAATTGCCACAATGTCAGTTGGTTTCGAGCACATTGATGTCGCTGAAGCCAAAAAGCGGGGAATTAAAGTAGGCTATACTCCTGATGTGTTGACATACGCTGTGGCGGAGCTTACTGTTGGTATTCTTTTGGCTACATCGAGGAGGCTATTTGAGGCGCATAGAGAAATTTTCAAGTAAGAATGTAACTTTGTAAAATCAAAGGAAATGTACTACAGTACTTGTAGCCTTGTAGTTTCTTGCTCTAATGGGTTTATTTTTTGTCCAGTGGTGGATGGACATCATGGTCTCCATCCTGGATGTGCGGTCCAAGCATTCGGGGTAAAACTGTTGGCATTGTTGGCTTTGGAAGGATTGGTCAAGAAACTGCTCGCTTGCTCAAAGGATTTGGAGTGAAACAGTTTCTGTACTCTGGCCGTAAGGACCACCCTGAGGCTTCAGATATAGGAGCTGTTCGAATGCCAGTTGAAGAGATGCTACCCAAATGTGATTTTATAATCTGTGCTCTTGCTATGAGCCCTGAAACTAAACATTATTTTAATGAGAGGCTATTTAACTTAATGAAGCCATCAGCTATTTTTGTAAACACAAGTAGAGGAGGTAAGTGAATAAGCATGGGCATATTGCATTGTTCATGATTTACTGCATGGCATGTATGATTTTCTGATCCTGGTATACATGCTTGCAGGAGTGGTTGATCAAGATGCACTTATCGAGGCATTGGAAAAGGGAAAAATACGAGGTGCAGGCTTGGATGTGATGACTCCTGAGCCTATTCCACCGGATCACCGTCTCCTAAAACTTCCTAACTGTGGTAAGCCAGTGCATCAATTTTCATGCCCACCTCCACCTAAATGTTAAAATACCATTAAAATCATGTAATACAGTGTGCTTTGTTGTTTAAAATTTCAGTTGTGATCCCACACATTGGCAGTGCAGGTATTGAATCTCGCAATGATATGGCAGAACTAACAGCAAGGAATATTTTAAATGCCCTGGATGGTAAGCCTATGCCTGCAGAGCTGTAAAGGTGCCTTATCAGTGATGTTAAAGATACAATAATTGCAGAAAAATATGTTCACACTAGACATATTTATATCAAATTTTATTTTTCTATACTTGGGTTTGTTTTGTTCTACTAGTTGTGATCTTCCATCATACATTTTATTTTCATAGAATAGAAATGTTTGTATTTTTTTATTAACAGAATATTGCTTTATGGTCTGAAATAGAGCCCCTGTTAGCTCATAAATAAATGTTTTGATAGTGATAGCACTTTCAATACAAAAAAAACCTATGTTAGCGAATTTTAAAAGCAAGTGTGGATGCGGTAGCAACTTTTATAAACCCGATTGTTTACGTGACAGAAAATAATGAAAAGTAATTGGTGCTTAGCAGACTACATAAAATCATGAACAGCCGTAAATGATACATTGCACAGTTTATTCATTATGACAAAAACGGGAAAATAACAAACATAAACTATATATTAAAAAACAAAGATTTCTGAAATCTAAATTATAATAGCTGTATTTACAAAACTGTTTGTTAGACCTAAAGGCTATTGGCTCACATAGAACTTATGTTTTTTCTGTACATGGCACTAATGATAACAAATATTGACCTAGTAAATCTGTGTGACAACTGTGAAGTGGAGTTCTTTTACAATAAATTCAAAACTTAACTTACTCTTCATGAGTAAATTTTTTATCCATTTTGGATGTTTTTACGAAAGATTTTTCCTTCTGTATACCAGCAGGAAAATAACTAGAATCTCCATTTGAACATGTAAAAATGTTAGAAACCTGCAGATGGAAAAAAAGCCAACCTACTTATGTATACAAATCAAAACCAGCTTGAATTGAATAGCTTTTATCCGGTTAACTCAATGCACCTAGAATTAAATCAAGGATGATACAAATTAGGATTAAATCCTACGAAGTTCTTTTGCAGTCCCTTTCCTTGAAACTGATGGCTTACTTCTGGCCTTCAAGCTCAGCCTTTTAAGGAAAACATAATGAGATCTAGTCACTAGCTAAGGTATTATTAAAAATTAAATATGCTTTATGTACAGAGAAGTGAGCAACATAACACTAACACTCCCATAGCAGCAGGATCTGAGGGAAGATCAAATATATTCAATAAATTTCTCGTGTCCACCAAATATTTATTTTATGGATATTTACACTGGTTGACACATGAGACACTAAACTTAGACAATGCTAAGAGCCACCATCTTCCCTCAGAACTACAAACTAAATTATAAAATGAAAGGCAGTCTGCAGGTAGTCTTAAAGTGGGATCTTGAAATCACCTTTCCTTGTATTGTGTGGCTTGGAATTAACAGTATCTACCATAAATTTGTACAGTGACTGAGTCACAAATTTAACTGATTAAACCTTAAAAATTCCATAACACAACCACCAATCCAAAGACAGCATCAATATTCCAACTTTTCACGAACTGAACCACTTCACAGTAAATCACGAGTAGCTTAAATAAAATGAAATCAAATTGACAGTGCATGGATATTATCTATATCCCATAGTATTGAACACAATCAACTCAAGCTCGACACTTGTGTTTGAGATGTTGCTATCGATTCGCTTTCCGCACTTTTAAAGAAATTCGAACAGTAATATTTGATAGTATTAAGTGTCACAAAGAAGTCTCAGATTTTGTGCCTTTTTATCAAGGAGTACCATTTCCAAAACACAAGAAGGAGAAAGCAGACAATGGTCCAGTTTTACTGAAGCATTACTGAGCAAAGAATACAACCATGTGGTTTGGTCCAACCAAGTACTGCCTACTCTTTATGCCTCAGGTCGAACCCAGAGGGCTCAAAGAGGCACCACTGTATCCTGGATCATCTATTAACCATCAACACTTTGGCCCTTGGTTAAAAGGAAGCATTCGAATTCACTCCTCACAAGACACAATTTATTTCAAAGGTCACGCTAATAGAAAGCAAACATCCTAATACCTCAGAATCTTAGGGACATGACAAATTTGCAGAGATCGTCATGCGTCATATGACAGGCATGTAGTTTCACCCAATACAAAGAGTTAAGCCAACAGCCATAGCCATCTAGTCCCCATTTCATACTTAAACTATCCATTTACTATTAGAAATAAATACTTGACAATAACAAAAATTTATCATGTCCCTATAATACAATTTATACATAGTGTAAAACATTGTCTATTGAAAGGAACGCCTCTTTTATGCCACAGCTGAACTAAAGCAGAACAAGCATCTGTGTTCAGGTTTGTGCATCAACATGAAAAAGCTACTACTTTTCCAAGACAAATCCTGTACGAAAAGATGAAGCGCATGAAAACAACTTGTATGCAGTATTTGGTCCATGAACAGCAGCAAGCTTTTCTCTCGTGTGGTTTTGTTCCACTGCTCCCCAATATTTCTGTGCGTCCCAAAACAGACATTCAAGTCACTTGCGTTAAGTTCGCTGATGACAGTAAAATTACCCCTCCGCACCTCACCATACAAACACTGAGCCCAATGTTATCTAAAGCTGTATAGTTACAGAGTCCAGCCAAAAAACAAGGTACCTAAACAATCCACAAACTGATGAGAGAATTTCTTTACTAGCAGGCCCGTCAAAAGGCAAAACGGTAATTTTCTTTATTCTTTCCATTTCTATTGTTTCGGACTCGAGTCAATTCAAACCGCAAAGGCTGGGGCAAAATGGGTGGCAAAAAAAGGGGCGTTCAACAACAGCACCATGCACCATGCCATGGCCATGCCGGCTGTCTCTTCAAACGATGCGAGAGAGAGGGAGAGACAGCGCAAAGCGTGTGCCAGTGTGACAGTGTGCCAGTCAGCATACAAACGGAGCACCTAGCGGACCCTTGGCGGGCCGACATCAACACCTCGCCGAGAGTGCCGGGAGCGCCGCAATGCGCGGAAGTACTCGGGGTTGAGTACACACCGCGGAGTACCCGGCGGCTTGTACAGCACGGAGCCTCCTCGCGTGGCTCGGCAGCCTCAGGGAAGTACCACGCCCACGTGAGACGCGAAGGAGACCCCGAAGCCAGCCCGGCACCGCGGGGCACTCGACGGCCCTCTCGGCTCGGCACAAGCGGACCTAACAAATCACAACCTTAACGGAGGAAAGCATGGCATGCACGCTTCCTCGTTCACTGGGAGGCCGGCGGGCGTGGATCGGCTTACGTATTTCGGTGGCACGAAGGATGCTGCCCCACAGGGCGAGCTCGCCCCGCGACGCACCCCCGTCACAATAATAACAATTACAATTTTTTTTTAATTAAGAAAAAAAGAAAAACAAACCACGACCGAGGTTTCATTTTGTTCACTAGGTGGTCTCGCATGACCTACTCCTACACTAAAGTCTTTGGTAACAAGAAACAGCTCCGCACTTCCCTCCTCGTCCCCCCGCTGCCCCCTGGAGCAATCACTCAAAGTTCGTCTCCAGGCAGCGACAACAACAACAACAAATCTCGGCACCACTTAAAATAAAAAACACCTCACCAAAGAAAAAAAATAAACAAGAGAAACAAAAAAAAAAAAGAGTTAATAAACAACAAACAGCCTGCTTGAGCAAGCGATCCAACTAGATAACGTATCACATTCGTTTCGTGGCGGCGCCGCGTCGTGTCCATGACTGTCCGTGACAAACTGACAGGACTCTGTCACGTGGTCGTGTCGTGTGCCCGGGGTGCCGGCGTGGCGCAAATCGCGTCTCGCGGCACTCCGAGCTGCTCGTGGGGTTCGCTCTTCGCTCTACCAGCGCAGAGTTGGGCCAGGGAGCAGGCCGGGGCTGGGCTGAGGCTCAGGCTCCTTCAGCCCGACGGCCTACGTCGCCTTGGCCGGGGTGGGCGGCCCGGAGCCCGTCGGCGACTGCCCCCCGCTCGAGCCGTGGCTGCCCGTCGACCCCGGGCCCGCCCCCTGCGAGCCGGGGGGCGGCGGCCCGGGGGGCGGCGGGGGCCCGCCCATGTCCTGGCTGGTGTCCATGGGCTCGGCGTGCGACGGCGCCACGCCGAAGTACCGGTCTGGAATCAAAAACGGGGTGCTGTCTGCGGATTCGAACCCGGGCGCGCGACACTGCGCGTTCAAGCCGAGACTCTGTTGTCCGATTTCGCTGCGCGCACTTCTCTCTTGCCCCGCCGCACAGTGGATTTGCCAGAAGACCGGTGGAGGCGGCCGAAACTCTAGACGCGTTTTGAGCTACAGAGTCGCTACACAGGCCTCGAACCGAACGTGTGACCCCACCAATGTATTCCTCGTTCGGAGAGCAATCCATTGGTGGGGTCACACGTTCGGTTCGAGTCCCATTCAGCGACTCTGGAGCTGAAAACGCGTCCGGGGTTTTGTCCGCCCCCACCGGTTCTCTGGTCCACTGTGAGTGCGAGCGAGACAGAGCGAGGAGTGCGGATGGCTTACCGTCGTCCATGAGGCTTTGCTGCGACGGCTGGTCGCCGGCCACCCCGGCGGGCAGCAGCGGCGCCATCATGCCGTACTCCTCGTCCAGGCCGATGAAGGCCGTGGGCGCGGCGGGGTTCCACCGCGTGGGCGGCGCGCCAGGCCCGCTCAGCGAGACGGGCGCCCGCGCCGGGGGCGCCGGGCCGCAGCCCCGAACCGCCGAGGCCGCCGCCCAGGCCGGCGCCCAGGTTGACGGCGTTCCGCGACACGCCGGGCGACGACACCAGCAGGCTCAGGTTGGACGCGCTCACCATGCCGCCCACCGACGACGCCGCCGACATGGGCGGGTAGCTGAAGATCTGCGGCCGGAAATCGGAATTGAGATTTTAATTGTTTTCACAGGGGCGGCGGAGAAAAAGCGCTCAAGGCCGAAAAGGGGGCAGAAAGTGCCACAGAGTCGAAAGGGTTGCCACTTCAGCCTGACGACGAGTCTGGGAATGAAGAGGGCGGGCTGAGGCTGGCAACCCTTCGAACGCCGGGAGACCCACCTGCGGGGGCTGGTGTATGTGGCTGAAGGTGTACTCGCTCCGCACGGCGAAGGGGCTCGACACCACGGAGCGGGACTGCGGGTCCTGCGACGGCGACACCGCGCCCGACCGCCCCCGGGGCGAGTCTGGGCCCATGGGGGGCGAGTGGGGGCCCACTGGCGGGGGCGTGTGGGGCCCGGGCGGCAGCTCGCCTGCCGGAGAAACACCAAGTCAGTACAGAGTGGCGGCCCACAGTGGACCTGCAGACTGGTGGCGGCGGTCAATCCCGAACGCGTTTTGAGCTCCGAAGTCGCTAAATGGGACTCGAACCGAGCGTGCGTGTGACCCCACCAACGGATTCCTCGTTCGGAGAGCAATCCATTGGTGGGGTCACACGTTCGGTTCGAGTCGCATTTAGCGACTCTGGAGCTCAAACCGCGTCCGGGATTTTGGCCGCTGCCACCGGTCTTCTGGCCCACTGTGCGCGTGGCTGGCACGTAGATGACGTGTTCGGCGCGTACCTGAGGACCCCGTCGACCGGATGATAGCCACGGGCCTGGCCATCGGGGGCGGCGGGGGAGGGGGGAGCATGGAGCTGGTGTAGTACTGCGGTAGTCTGGTGGGGCTTCGACCGCTGCTCACCTGCGGAAGCAAACAAAACCAAATAAGCGTATGCTCGACCAAACCTCTCCTTCCTGGAGTTCGCAGATTGATTCGTTTTCATCGCTCTGTCTCCCTCGCGCTAATGGGGTGTCCCGCACAGTTTAGACGCGTTTTGAGCTCCAGAGTCGCTGGATGGGACTCAAACTGAACGTATGACCCCACCAATGGATTGCTCTCCCAACGAGGAGTCCATTGGTGGGGTCACACGTTCAGCTCGAGTCCTGCTTAGCGACTCTGTAGCTCAAAACGCGGTTTGAGTTTTGGCCGCCTCTTCGGGTCTTCTGGCCCACTGTGCGACTGCCTACCTGCTGGCCAGTGTCTCCCTCCTGGTTGCACACGAATGTGACGAAGTCGGTGAGGGTGGTGTCGTGCCCGTTCTCGGGGTACTTGGGGCTCTGCTGCTGCTGCTGCTGCTGCTGCTGGTTGGGGTCGGGGTGGTGGCCGGGGTGCACGTGGGAGTAGTAGCTGGGGGTGTGCTGCAGCGCCACGGAACCGTGCGGCGAAGGGAGACCTGGAACACAACACCGCGAAGCCGCGTCAGTTTGCCCGTCTTTATTTCGAAGCCGCGACGGTACGCACAGTGGGCCAGAAGACCGGTGGAGGCGGCCAAAATCCCGAACGCGTTTCGAGCTCCGGAGTCGCTAACTGGGACTCGAACCGAACGTGTGACCCTACCAATGGATTTGCTCTCCGAACGAGCAATCCATCGGTGGGGTCACACGTTCGGTTCGAGTCCTGTATGGCGACTCCGGAGCGCAAAACGCGTCCAGGATTTCGACCGCCTCTTCTGGCCCACAGTGCGATACAGTGTGAATGGTTAATGAGTTAGTCCGGACAACCACAGGTGTTCCCCGAGCATGCATCGCCATACAAGAAAGCACTACGCAAGCGTTCGCCACAAAAGCACCACCACCAAAGACACCTTCAAAGCATTGCTGTTGGGGACCTCACCTTCGGCCTTCGATGACAATTACTTGCAGCCCACAACGGAGCAGTGAGAAACCCAACCACACCGTCACCAATACTCACCCGAAAGGGAAGTTTGACAAACTGGAAATATTTAGGTGTTTTCCTAAATGCAGCCTTGGCCATCTCAGCGAACCTCCACCAGCAAGCACAACCCAGTGAGAGAGAAACGATCGTGCGACAACGAATTTGCGCAGAACAATGAGTGCTTTGACGGGTGCCCTGCCTCCACCCCGATGACCTTGACGAAGGCCTCGGTGACCTTGACGGCCTTGACCAAGGCCTTGATGACGTACCGTCGCGGCGAGACGCCAGCCGGCTTTTCAGGGACTTCCCCGACGCCTGCATCTGCAGATGGGGCGACGAGCCCGAGGGACCGCCTGCAAACACTGGCCGTCAGCGAAAAGAAAAACAAAAACACACAGGGGGCAGGGCGAGTTGTTTGTTTTAATTGGCACGCAAAACTTTGTTATTCGGTCAGGCCGGGGGGCGAACTACAGCACACACTATTTAAACGGCCATTAACGCTGCAGTCTTAATGGGTTTCGTCTACCATGGCGTGGCATGGGCAAAACGTAGCGTGCTTGTCTCGAGGGCGTTCGCTACGCAGTCAACACATGCTCGACTACAGTACGAGTGCTTCTCTCTCAGAAAGCTCAAATCAAATCGACTGAAATTTGGTTGCTCTTCGTGTAGAAGTTGATTCAAGCAAGGGAGTGGTTTCGAATGAAAAAAAACTAGTCAAAATGACAAAAACTAAAAGTTTCAGTTCACAGTGCATTGTTCTAAAATTTCGAAATTGGAAGCTACACGCTTAAGACCTTACCAAGTATTTTGAGCATATGCACGGTACAAACTATTTACACTGAAATTCAAAGGGTGAGACATCTGACCGATTTTCGGTGATACAAAAAGTATGACCGAAAAAACGGTCATACATAAATGTATGACCGAAAAACGGTCATACTTAAATGTATGACCAAAAAAAGGTCAGACATCAGCGAGACTGGCTATTGTTTAGCTTGGGGATATATCAGCATTTACCCGTGATACACTATAAAGTATGACCGTTTTTCGGTCATAACAAGTATTTTTTCGGTCATAACGGGATGACCGTTTTCGGTCATACATCGAAGTATGACCCTTTTTCGGTCGTACATTTCAGTAAGACCGTTTAAGCGGTCAAAAGTATGACCTTTCTATTTTCAGTGTAGTGTCATTACGAAGAAATTGTTCGTAAATTACGAAGGATTTTTTCTCTGCACGGTACCTGGTTTTCCCAGGAGCCCCCTGGAAATCGCCTATGTCTTTGCCATAGGCTTCATGGGAAAACCAGGTACCGTTTTACCGTGTGTGAGCTTACCTATGCATGCTCAAAATACTTTGCTGACAAGCTCCTTTTCATTCTAAGTCCTGAAATAGTTTGCAAGGTGGGAGATGGGTGGACTCACCAAGTGCTGTATGGTCCACGTCGGAGTGCCACGAGGTTTGCGACGACAGCGAGGCGGGGCTCTGCGAGTAGTAGGTGGTGACCTCCTGGGGCTTGTCCCGGCTGGGGGCCGAGCCTGCGCCGCCCCCAGGCCCCGCCCCCGCGCCCGGCCCCGCCCCCAGCTCCAGGTCGTCCTGCGACGAGAGCCGTCTGAGCCGCTTGGTGCGCGGCTCTCCGGGGCTCTGCGAACTTCTCGGCAGCGACAGTGGACCTGCGGGAGTCAGCAGCGCGTCAGCAGGCTCGCTCAGGACACGCCGTGCTCCGTCTCGCTCGCACTGGCCGGCCGGCCCGTCGGGGGGCGAGAGTGACAGAGCGACGAACGCTGCAAAAGGGTTCATCTCCACTTTCCCTTTCTTCACACGGGCTAATGCGTTTCCTAATCACCGAGAGGGATCAAGAAAGGGACAGTTTTTGTCTCCTTGACGTAGGGTATTAAAGTTTCACACCATTTTTCTTCTCCACAGTCTTCACAAAAAAAAAATCAAGTAGAAAATATAATTTTTCGAAGATCGGAGGCAATTTTTCCCCGAAAAGCTCATTGATTATTGACAATTTTTTTAAAAAAATTTTAACAGTGTGTACTTACTGTACGCGACGGTGGGCATGATGGGCGCGTGGTCGGGCGCGGGCGGCGTGTAGCTCGAGCAGTAGTAGCTGGGGTTCTCCATCTTGATGCTGTTGACCGGGGGCGCCATCCCGTTGTGGCCGTGTATGATCGAAGCTGCAACACCAGTGCGGGCATTACAGCACACCACCCCTTCAACCTTCGTTCGTTTACAAAAAATTAGCAAAAAATAATTGTGGTCTGTCACGGAAGTAGGCAAAATTTCCAACGATGCACTGGTGTCGAAAGGGTTGCCAACCTCAGCCTAACATCTTAAAAAATTGGAAGGCAGGCTGAGGTTGGCAACCCTTTCGACACTGGTCCAGTGTGGGATTTTTTGTCTGCTTGTGTGGCAGCACTGCAAGTGCAGAATTTATCCGCGAATTCTAGTGCTACACTGCTGGAGCGCGCCTGGCGGGTAGGCAGGCCCGCGACGCACAGCGGTGTAGCGGGCTTGCCTACCCGGTCGTCGTTGGGCGCCATAGGTAGGCAATCCGACGCACTGCGCTGTGCAACGGGACGGCCCGACACCGCTTCGCAGGCGGCGCACAGTGGGCCAGAAGACCGGTGGCGGCGGTCAGAACTCTAGACGCGTTTTGAGCTCCAGAGTCGCTAAATGGGACACGAACCGAGCGTGTGACCCCACCAATGGATTGCTCTCCGAACGAGGAATCCATTGGTGGGGTCACACGTTCGTTTTGAGCCCAGTATAGCGACTCTGGAGCTCAAAACGCATCTGGAGTTTTGTCCCTTTTGATTACTGGCCACCCTTGCGGTCCAAGACTCAGCCAGTCTCTCATGATGCATAGTTCCTTCTCCTTTCCACGCGACAAAAGTTGCCGAATAAACTTGGACGTCGCTGCTATGTCCAGTTCTCTGTCTCACTCGCACTCCCAGACGACCGCTGTCTGTCTCACTCGCACTCGCAGGCGGGGTGCCGTGGCCGTCCGGCGAGATAAATCAGTGTTATTTACACTCTAACAATACTTTTATATGTAAAACCAGATTTTTTTTCTCGCCTTTTTTTCTGGCAGCTCGACGCGGAGAAGAACAAGTGAAAAGACAAATGTTTTAATTAGCACTACAGCATCGGAGGGCCGAGGGCGGCCGAGGGGAGGGCGAGAAGAGGGGGCCGAATCGCCGATACAGTATTTGCAACTAACTCGCAAACAATCCAATAAAAACTTGTAGATCTATCGTCCGGGGACGCGGCGAGCGGGCGAGAGAGAGAGAGAGAGAGAGAGAGAGAGAGAGAGAGAGAGAGAGAGAGAGAGAGAGAGAGAGAGAGAGAGAGAGAGAGAGAGAGAGAGAGAGAGAGAGAGAGAGAGAGAGCCACTCGGCGGCAACGCGGCAACTTCGACAGTCGTAAATTCATTGCGTTATGCAAAGTGGCAGAAAAGTTGGCGGAATCGCTTTTAAATGCTTTATTTCTCCGCTGCTCTTCTCCTTTGTCCCCGAAGCGCTCTCGACCCGGAATTCGGCGCGAGAAAAAAAGAGCGGCGGGAACTTTGAAACGGCACTTTCGATGTTATCTCGGTGCAGTATTTCGCGGCCCGACGGGAAGCACCTGTGCGGACAGACGAACAGGTGGGGAGGGGAGCTAGACTCGGCCGCCCGAACGAGAGGGCTTCGCGGAGCAGCAAGGCGCGTCATAGGCTGGGCGCACAGTGGGCCAGAAGACCGGTGGGGGCGGCCAAACCTCCAGACGCGTTTTGAGCTCCACAGTCGCTAAGCAGGACTCGAACTGAACGTGTGACCCCACCAATGGACTGCTATCCGAACGAGGAACCCATTGGTGGGGTCACGCGGTCGATTCCTGTCCCATTTAGCGTCTAGAGTTTCGACCGCCTCCATCGGTCCTCTGACCCACTGTGCAATTTCCGAAGCCACTTTTCGAACACGGCAGCGAGACCTGGTTAACGCAACACACCACGCGTTAGTCGAAAGCGCAGGAAAACAGAAGCAAGACGGCCTCAAGGGAAACGGACTTCGAGACCCAAAAATTCGTGTTATTTATCATGCCTTCTTTTTTTTCACCGCACTCGTCTTACGCCCCACCCCTCTCTCTGTGTTCACACCATTTACGGAAGCGGAGGAAGCCGGGGCATCAGCAAAATCTGGCGAGGCGGGGGGGGGCGGGGCGGGGGGGGGGGCGGGGCGGGGCGGGGGGGGGGGGCGGGGGTTTTTTCTCGGGCGTCGCTTATGTGAAATCCATGCGCCTCCCGGAGCCCCGGTGGCAGGGGGGGGGGGGCATTTGCCTTTTCGGCGTTAATGGGACCGCGCGGGGGTGGGGGTAGGGGAGGGGATGGGGGGGGGGGGGAGGGGAGGGGGAGAGGAGAGGGGAAGGGGAGCCGGAGGTGCAGGCCACCCCGTTCGTCATCCATTGCACACACGGCATCGCCGACGGACACACACACACACGCACACACACTCCTTGTGTAATCGGCCTTCTGCCTTTTTACAGTGGCGGTCGCGGCCCTTTTTGAAACGGTCACGGCGGCGTGCGCGTCGCGACCGCGCCGCGTGCATCTGCTCGAGCGCGTGCCGGGCGTGCGTAGCTTGCGCAGCGTGCGGGGCACGGGAAAGCGTGGGGCCACGCCCAAAAACACAGAAAAAACACACCCCAACAAAACAAACCCCCACACACACACACACTCACACGCTCACACACCTGCTGCATAACCATGTCATGGTACGTGCCCTTGTTTTTTTGTGATAGTTTTTTTTTAGATTTTTTAGGTTTTTAGGTTTTTTAAAAGGTTTTTAGGATTTTTAGGTGTTAAGGTTTTTTGAGGGTAATATGATTTTTAGGTATTTGGCATTTTAAGGATTTAAGGCTTTCTAATGTTTTAAATTTTTTTTTCAAGACTTTAAGGTGTGTGAGATTTTAAGGATTTTTAGGGTTTTTAGGATTTTAAGGTCTTTAGGATTTTCATGTTTTGACTGGTGGCGGGATTCGAACCCGCGGCCGGCGGAACAGCTGAGTGGGAGGGAGGGCTCCGGACGGCCTTCACCCTCGTCTGGCTCACTTGGCACGGCCCTGCGCGGGGCGTGCGGGGCGTGCGGGGCGTGCGGGGCGCGGCCCCACCCCGCGTCCGTGGCCCACCGCCAGCGCCACGCCAGTGTGCTGCCGGCAGACGCTTTTCGGTGAAACCGCGCGCCCCGCTTTCGAGGGAAGGAATCTCTCCGCAAACGGAAGTCTACACACATCTAAATTCAAGCTGGTTCCGCACCCCCTCCGCCTCGCTCCCAACTCTCAAGAATTTTCACAAGCTTCAACGTATGATGGGGTTGCAAAGCGATTCATAATCCCCACGGAGGAGCTTTTCTGGGAGGGGCGCACAGTGGGCCAGAAGACCGGTGGAGGCGGCCAAAACTCTAGACGCGTTTTGAGCTGCAGAGTCGCTAAACGGGACTCGAACCGAACGTGTGACCCCACCAATGGATTCCTCGTTCGGAGAGCAATCCATTGGTGGGGTCACACGTTCGGTTCGAGTCCCGTTTAGCGACTCTGGAGCTCAAAACGCGTCCAGAGGTTTTGGATGCAAGTTAAGGGGTCCGCCACAGCTCTGCAGCTTGCTAGTGTTTCACCAAAAATTAGACGGCTCTCAAATCAGCGACCTCGCGAGACTGTAAGTGAATTGGGACTCTCTGATGGGCTCAGAACCACTCTCTAGCTTAGTCGCGGGGCGCGGGAAGGTGGCCAGGTAGCTGCGCCCCCCTCGGGAATGAGCGAAAGCTTTTCAACAGCGTTCACCAATTTGGAGCGAAATCCCGTGCCGAAACAGCGGCACATTTACGATAGTCTAAAAGTGAGGCACCGAGACAAACGCCGACGAAAGGAAGACGCACAACTCCAGCTGACTGACGCCGAGAGTCGATTTCGTCGCTCTGTCCCTCTCGCACCCACACGGGACGCCCCGCGAGTGCGAGAGAGACAGAGCGATGAAATCGACTCTCGGAATCGGTCTGCGGATGAAGTGCGAGAAGCGAGAGCCACTTCCAGTGTCGACGCGTGCCACAGGTGCAGGCCGCTGAGCTAGCGCCCCATTGGTCGAAATAACAACTAGTCTCATAGAGTGGGTTCGGAGCTCACCTTTGGACAGCCGCCACAGTTCTTTGGAGGAGAATACGCCGGTGGCTAAGATGGTATTATTGCAGACCACTCCGTTGTACGGATTGTGGGGGTACCCTGCGAACAGACAAAGGCTATCTTCAGTCTTGAGCCTAAACAAGGCAGTGCGTGTCTGAGGAACAGAGACAACACCCACTGGGAGGCGAGAAGAAGAAGAAGAAGGAGGAGGAGAGGACATCGGGGATGCTCTAGTATATTGCGTAGTGCCTTTTATAGGCTGGGGCCATCCCCTCTGCCCTACATTTGATTGATGTTGTTGTTGTTGCTGTGTGGTTCAGAATTGCAAATGGACCGGCGCGGCTATAGAGAGCTGTCGGTCTAAGGGAGGCGGTCCGGGGTTGTCCCGCGTCAGACGTCAGGCGGTGTTTACCAAGCCAGCGAGGTATCTCAAAACGCATTTCCGATCCGTGTTGCCCCACCAAATAAACGAGAGTCGCCTTCCAGGCCTCAGCTGCACACTCGCAGAGCTTTCTAGGGCACTGAGGGTGGTTCCGAGAGAGAAGAGAGAGAGAGAGAGAGAGGAGAGAGAGAGAGAGAGAGAGAGAGAGAGAGGGGGGCATTTCTTCTCCCCGCTGCACCGATGTCTCGCGTGTTGTTGCGAGACGTCGCGCTACGACCCCGCGCAATTTCATCTCATCGGACAAATTAGCATATTTATTAACGCATCGGAGGCCTCGTCTCTCTCTCTCTCTCTCTCTCTCTCTCTCTCTCTCTCTCGATACCGAGGGGACCGAAGGGGACGGACATAAATTGATAAGGAACTATCTACGAGTGTGGCGGCGAGGACACTGCGCGGCCCCAAGTAGTTTCGTTGAATGAATCAAGAAGACGCGCATCGCGGAAACCTCCCAAGTCGAACAAATGTCCAATGCCTCGTGACAACGGAGAAATCAGTCGTAAACTTGACTCGGCCGATGCGCATTTGCCAGAGCATCGAATCAGTTAGGTCCACTCCAGCTAATCTTTGACGGAAAAACACTCCAGCTAATCTTTGACACGGTGTCTCGGTGTAAACTTCATTCATATGAGTACGATTGAATACGAATCATGATTTTAACCATCTTCGCAAAAGTGCACGTGTGTTCGAAGATGTTTAAAAACGGTCCTCCATCGGCCAGACGTTGGTTCAAAGCGATCCCCCCTTAGATTAGAGGGCGGATGGCGAAAGGCGTCGAAGGCGTTGGTGTACATAAAGCAAAGGGTAGGACTGGCAGTGAGAAACGCGCATCCAGGGGACGCGCCACCCCGCCAGCCATTCCCTCGCTGTGTTGTTGAATCCTCTGCAAGATTTGTACAAGCTCTTTCCACGGAGCGGGGGGAGGGGGAGGGGAGAGAGAGAGAGAGAGAGAGAGAGAGAGAGAGAGAGAGAGAGAGAGAGAGAGAGAGAGAGAGAGAGAGAGAGAGAGAGAGAGAACCGGCGGAGTGGGAAAGGGGCGTGTGTGTAAATAACAGCAAAGGTTGCTCCCCACGCGTCAAGGAGCCTTAACTTTGCCTCTGTACAATGTTTCCACATAAGAAGGTGAAATTTCCAACAGTGCACCAGAGTCGAAAGGGTAGCAAACGTCAGCCTGGCTTCTTAACAACTTCCCGAATGCACAGCCCAGATATTGCCTAGTAGGCAGGCTGAGGTTGGCAACCCTTCGACACTGAGCAATCCACTGGTGGGGTCACACGTTCGGTTCGAGTCCCATTCAGCGAGTCTGGCGCTCAAAACGCGTCTAGAGTTTAGTCCGCCTCCACCGGTCTTCTGGCCCACTGTGGTACAGCCTCCACCAAAAGTAAGAGGGGCTCGCGCAAGCCTCCGGGACACACGGCGCCGAGACGCCCCCGATATCGCTCCAGAGATTCCAGCCAGCCTTCCAGCCGCTCCAGAACGGCCCGTCTCCGTTAAGTAGCGGAAGGAGTTGGTGTAAATCTTGAAGCCCAGGAGGCGGCGCCCATGCGCTATTACCCCCGTTCCCGTCTGTCCGTCCGTCTGCCCGTTCGTCTGCCCGTCCGTCTGTCGGTCCGCGACGCGTGGCGGGCACGCGAGCATCCAACGGGAACGCTGCCGCGCCTCATTTAAATTTTTGCCGCGAAGGAAACGAACGACGAGATGATGATGGCGCGGCCCGCGCGGGTAGCAGGTGGCCCGTGCGCCAACGTCGCGCTGAGCTACGCACAGTGGGCCAGAAGACCGGCGGAGGCGGTCGAAACCCCGGACGCGTTTTGAGCTCCAGAGTCGCTAAACAGGACTCGAACCGAACGTGTGACCCCACCAATGGATTGCTCTCCGAACGAGGAATCCATTGGTGGGGTCACACGTTCGGTTCGAGTTCCATTTAGCGACTCTGGAGCTCAAAACGCGTCCGGGGTTCGCCTCCACCGGTCTTCTGGCCCACTGTGCTGTCCCTACGTCGCGGCGAGCTAACCTACCCTCGGTCGGTGCGAACCCTACCCGCCCAACCTGTCCAAACTGCGTGCGGCAGAGGCCCTATCGGCTTTATAAATAGCCGGTAGGCCGGCCTAGCGGAGGGGAGTGTCCTCGTAAAAGACGTTCAATCGTAAAGCCACCCTAATGCGATCAGCTTTTAGCGTCCATTTAAATTTGGGCCAGCCTTGCAGTGGAGCTGCGTGCCCCATTTTCAGCGGTTATTGCGAGTGCCCGGGTATTTTCGTATTTTCGGGCCCACCCCCATGTTCGCGCCGTAAACACATTCTACAACGAAATATTGTTTAAATTATAAAGAAAACAGTTTGTGGGCGTTGTGACAGTGCGCCCTCCCTCGTCAGTCCGTGGCCGTGCTGCGGCAGCGCGGTGAAGGCTGCCTCGCTGTCTCACTCTTCCTCATAACCCGACGCCCCCCCCTCCCCCTCCCCTTCTCTCTCGAACCCTTTCACTCAATCCGCCACCGACCGACACCTCTGGCGTTGCAGGCGTGTCCAACCGCGTGTCTAGCCGGCCAGTCCAATCTAGTCACTCGGAAGCTGTCTTCAGCACAAAAATAAATAAATAAAAAAATGACATTTTTTTTTCGAAAAATAAAACAACGAATTCAGCCACTAAGACGGGAAAGCTATCTTAGTATGTAAAGAAAAGATTATTTTTTAGGGGTTCCCAAGAACCCCTATTGTCCGAGGTCCGTGGATTCCCCCCCCCCCCTCTCCGATTTTCAAATTAACTGCGCTAAAGTATTTCAACCATAGAAAAAACGAAAATTTCAATTTTTTTCGAAAATTCATCGTGGAAATTTTCCGTAAACTAGAAAAACATAAATTTGCAACAATCGAAAACGAGAACCGTTAATGATATGAAAAAATGGTTCAAATAAAAAATGTGCCACTCCTCAAAACTAAACCTCCTGGCTCATCAAAGTAACAAGAAATCGTCTGTGTTCTGAGCAAATGGTTAAAACATAAAAAAAAAATCTCCATGGCAACGACATGGTCCCATCGTACCACCCGTCAAAATTCAAAGTCGCCGATAAAGAGAAATCAAAACGCCGTGAAATTCGAAAATGCTAATGCTAACGCATTGCTCGGTGTCCCGACGTTGGAACATCTTTCAAGTCTGTCACTAGTAAAAAGTTCGTAGCAGAAACGACGCATCAAATTAATTTTCGTGGGTTGGCACCAATTTGCTTGCCGTCTGCGCCCTTTCGAAAATCGCGAGGCTGAAAAAACGAGTAGGCGCGCATTGAAACTGCCCCTCCATTGTTGCTGAGGTTGGATTGTTTGGCAAGCTTTTAAAGGCTGCGGTTGTCTTGTCATGTTTTCCTCAATTCTGTGGAACAGTTCTTACTCACAACGTAAAAACAGCACCATGGTTGGTTTGACAAACTTTATAAACTCGGGAGGGGTGATTTCGGAACGCGGGTGACTTTCGTTTGGCGAACATGAGCACTGTAAGTCGCGAGATGGAGTGAGGTGGTCATGGTGTTAACTGAATCAGGTCTGACCAGAACTCTTTTCTATTGGTTAGTTTGAATTTAGCGCATGCGCACTTTGAAATTTTTAAATTTTCTCATAGTCATTGAACAGTTGGCACTGGCACGGTCCAATACATGGCTATTTCAAAATAGCCAAATGTGAAAATGGGAACACCTTGCAATGCGATTAGCATTGGAATTTTTTTTGTAAAACGAGTTTAGTTACTTTGACAAAATAGCTGTCTTCAGCACAAAATAATTTATATTAAAAATTTTATTTTACAAGACTTCGAAAAATATGGTACTGCCCAAAACCACACGTCCGCAGATGAATGATGAGTCGGGCGGCGAGGCCTCTCTGAGCACTTGTCTCCGAGAACACTAACAAGAAAGCCTGCGATTCCTCACGGCCCACTGTGCGGCTGTGTCATTGAGACCACGTGGACCCGAGGGACCCGAGGGACGGCCGCGCTCTAAAAATACCCGTGCCTTCCAAGTTCACTCGGCAACGCACGTCCAAATGAGAACTGTCAGGTGAGAACAAAAATACAGAGTGGTGCAAAGGGACGCGGCCGTACCCGCCCCGCCCCGCCACGCCCCGCCCCGCCCCGCCACGCCCCGCCCCGCCACGCCGGGGCGGAACATCTGACGGAGGTGCTAGGACGTGCGTATATTTAGAGATTCCTGAAATAGCTGTCACAGTTGTCCTGACGTCAGCCGGCCTCGACAGCCGGGCCGGCATAGGACGGGCTACGTGCATAGAGCAAATGAAAACAACAAACTCGCGAGGGACGCGCCTCGCCCGCCCTTTTTTATCGCGCGTCCTTTTTTATCAATTCCGACGACCGGACGACCAACTTAAAGCGTATCCGTGCCAAATCACATAACGGTCAAATTCAACGGGGGGGCTGCCAAAATTTTTCCAAGTTTTAATCATATTGGAAAATAAAGTTTAAGAACTGCAACTTTTAGAGAACCGTTCAGCGGACGCTGACCAACCAGAAGATGCATACTAAAGACTGGAGCGCAATCGCTATCTTCTTTTTCTCCGAAGGTAGCCCTCATATCTTTGAGACGCCCGACCACCCCGCCCTTGTCGCGTTTGACATCTTCATCCAAGTTATTAAATTTCGAGCCCGCCGGCGGTGG